ACTTGTATTGAAAAGTATCATTATTATCAATGTGATATAGTACTTGTATTGAAAAGTATCATTATTATCAATGTGATAGCACTTTTATTAAAAGGTATCATTATTATCAATGTGATATAGTACTTGTATTGACAAGTTTTATTATTATCAATGTGATAGCACTTGTATTAAAAGGTATCATTATTATCAATGTGATAGTACTTGTATTAAAAAGTATCATTATTATCAATGTGATAGCACTTGTATTAAAAGGTATCATTATTATCAATGTGATATAGAACTTGTGTTTACAAGTATTATTATTATCAAAGTGATGTAGCACTTGTATTGAAAGGTATCATTTTTATCAATGTGATGTATCAGTAGCATTTATAACAAAAAGTACGATTATTATTAATGGGATGTAGCACTTGTATTGAAAGTAAAATAATTATCAATGAGATGTAGTACTGAAGTAGTTAAAAGTAGCATCATTAATGTGATGTATTGAAAAGCATCATTCATCAATGTAACGTTTGTAGCATCCGTATTAAAAAGTAGTAGTATTAATGTGATGTGGCGCTTGTTTTGAAAAAAGAAGTAACAAATAACAATGGGATGTATTCAGGACCGAAACTGAGGGGGGGGGGGAGAGGGGGAACAGAACACGTGCCCCCCCTCTGTTAATTCAACTTTAAATTAAATTAAGTGCTTGTTTACTGTTAATTAGAGGACTTTGGCTCTCCAGTCCCCACCACTTTATCAAAATAACGTTGAAAAGTTATCTTAGATTATGATGTAGCACAGGTGTATTCAAAGTAATATCTTTAATGGAATGTGATGTTTTGAAAATTTACCATGAAAGAGTCTATAATTTAGATCTAAAATTGATTAAAAACACATCAAGCCCGATTCACAAAGGCACCTTCGCACATTATTGGAGTAGTTTTAGTTTGTCTGAAAAAGATTTTTAAAAATCCGCCAATTTACTTAATTGTGTCTGAATGCATAAGTGTCCGCGTCATCTACAAAGAACTGAATAAAGAATCTAGAATTTCTGCCCAAAGAGAAGTTTAAATTCAATCTTTAGTTCATCATATTTATCTTCACCCTCTGCATTCAGTCGCACAATTCACTATTCACAGTTAGAAATTCCAGGAATGGAATTCAGTATCTGTTATCAGGGGCGGATACAAGGGGGGGCGGCAGGACCTTCGCACCCCCTGACATTTCAGAATAGCTTCTTAATAGCACTTAAGGGAAAGAAAACCCAGTGCAAAATAGGAAAGTAAAAAAATTCTACTTCGGCACGTCTTTTATATTCTAAATCTGGATTTTTTTTGTTCCGAAGTAAATCTAGCACCCCCCTCACTTAAATCCTGTATCCGCCCCTGTCTGTCATTTTTACCTTCCGACCTATATTATTCATGAGAAATAATTACATGGGTAGCAGCTGTTTTCCGGTTAACATTTTTTACTGTCTCAGCTGGAAACTTTTAAATAGACACAAGGAGTTCAATTTATAACTACTTTACAGAGAAATTAAGGAAATTTTACATAACCAAGGGTTCCCAATGCCAATTTTGTCTACAAAACATCCAAAGCGTAAATTTGTCGCGGAAATCCGTGTTTAAGTAAAATTTTTAATTTCCCGAAAAAGTAGTTCTACACAATTTCATCGTCTTTTGAGATGAAAATGCGCTAATTTTTCACAAAAACTTCTGAGCGGGTTGTTTTTTCACTCAGTTGTTCCAAGAGACGTTAAGTAACTTAACGTTCCTCTGCTGTGTCAATCATAGGTCGGTTTTGTTGGTAACATTTATTAAGCATATTTAATAGTTTCCGACTCCGTTCTACGGTGCATTGTTGAAAAGTATACACATATTAATTAAAAATAGCTAAAAACGTACTAAATACAATTCTAGAAATATGTATTTCTCTTACGGATACTATATACATAAAAATATAATCTTATAACAAAATAATGAAATTTTATTGAATTATGTTGTTTGATTTGAGAATTGATTGTTAAAGTGTTTATACCCATCATTTATAGATCAATCATAAAAAATAAAATTTTTGATTCAGATGACAATTATCTTAATTCATCATTGATTTAGATGCATTGTGATAACGTTTCGTTGATTTAGAGTGATTAGATTAACTTGATTAATTCAGTTAACGATCAAATCAATTTGTTTGATCGAGTCCGATATATGTAAAATTCAATGATCTATTTTGATTTAGCCGTTTTTCTTTGGTGTGTGGAATATTATTAATATCCACTTTTATTTGGTAGAAATTTATTGATCCAGTTTGATAATGTAGAATTTCATTGATCCAGTTTTATTTGGTAGAAATTCATTGATCCATTTCGTTTCGGTAGAACTTAATTGATCCAGTTGGATTTGGTAGAATTTCATTAATCCAGTTTGATTTAGTAGAATATTTTTGATCCTGCAGTTTGATTTGGTAGAATTTCATTGATCCTGTTCGATTTGGTAGAATTTCATTGATCCAGCTTGATAAGGTAGAATTTCATTGAACCAGTTTGATTTGGTAGAAATTCATTGATCCATTTCGATTTAGTAGAATTTCATTGATTCAGTTTGATTTGGTAGAATTTCTTTAATCCTGTTTTGATAAGGTAGAATTTCATAAATCCAGTTTGATAAAGTAAAATTTCATTAATCCAGTTTGATTTGGTAGAATTTCATTGATCCTATTAATTTGGTAGAATTATATTGATCCTGTTTGAGTTGGTAGAATTTCATTGATCCAGTTTTATAAGGTTGTCACCCTCCTCTCTAGATTCAAGTTTAGGTTTGGGTGGATCAGGGATTAACAAAGGTATTGCTCCGAGCATCACCTGAACAGAGGAATCAAAGTTACAAAATATCATTTCATTTATTCAAATTGTTTATTCATCTTTCGATTATTTTGTTTTAATTATAAAAGAACGAACTATGCAGACACACAACTAGTACTGGGCAAAGTTTAGCTTTATGAATGAAAATTTCGTTAAAAACGAAGAAACCCGTCAGTTTTCAATTTTAGTAAGTACCAAAGATAAAAACTTGCAGAAAACGAACGAATTAAAAAAGAAAAAAATTTCGTTTTTTTAATATTATTATATTAAAGCTAATATATTATAGCTTATATATATAGCTAATATATTATAGCTTGAATATTATGAGTAACTTTTTTTGGAATCTAAAACCAAAAATCATGCTTATGTATAGTTGGGTATTAACAATTCAGCAAATGACGGAAGTGAAAGCTTGAAGATAACGATAAATTGCATTAATCCTATCACGATGGGGGGGGGGGGGTCCGTCTCCTTGTGGTCCTCTCTCTATAACTTAAAAACGGCTTACACTTATAGAACGCTCAAACTTCTTCACTTTTTCAACTTCATAATTGTGAAAAGTTTTTTAAAAAATATGAAAAATAGTTCAGAACATTTTTATTTAATAAGCTACAGATCTAAAAATTATTTAGCTAAAAAGCCATTGAAAAATGGATGCAAAAAATGTGTTACTTGTTAATATTTGTCAATTATAATTTTTTATCTTTAGTTAAGGGATTGTAAGCGTAAGTTTAAGTGACCCTCCATGCAAAGATGACAATACCAGATAAACGCCTACTCCATAATAAGTCCTCAACACGTATCTATCCAAGTAAAACCCGTCCGCTATCAAAGTCAACCAGGACACGATCCAAATTATAGCTACAATCCCGTGAACTATCAACCCTAAAGGGACACAAGCATAACTATCCAACAAGCTTTTAATCGAGCTCTAAATGCTACACAGGGACACAAGCGTAGCTATCAAACAAACTATTATTCACTTAAAATTGCACTTACAGTCCCACGAAACATAACAGTAGCAAGACGATTAATCTTTGATATTTGCATTTATATGAAAGTCGTCTTTCTACTTCATGTTTCGTGGGACATCCCTGCAGTGTAGTTCAAACCAAATAGTTACTTAAAATAAATATACTTATCGTTCATGAACGATGAATTAAAAAAGAAACGTGCAACCAATGGATCATAATATGTAAGGCAAATCAGCCAAGGGGTTCATGAGTTATGAATGATCGGACGTACAAATAAACAAACAAATATACAACAGGCATATAGAGGCAATTTCTTTACAATTGTTTACATATCCATTAGAAGGATATTACTTGAGAATTTACTATTGACCAGGTGGTGCAAATTAAATGAAGAAGAAAAAATAAAAAAGTTTCATGTTTTTTAAAATTTTATTTTCTCATATTTATAATCAGTAGTTATTATTTGCTCCCCTCTCCTTTCTAAAATTTTGCACAAAAAAACAGTTAGAATAGAATCCAAAGAGAAAACTCTACAGTAGATTCTTAATTTACATTTCTTAGTACCCCCCTCCCTCTCCCCCAAACTGGATTTGGAGGGGGGGGGGGGGGGGGGGGAGCCGAAAATAATTAAGAAATAGATACTTACAGATCAGCAGCATTCTGGTTTTGGTTGTTGACAGGGTTTTGAGCCATCGTAGCGGCCATTTCTCCTCGATCAACGATCGCTTACTTATTCTTGGTTATCTATTAGAAAAGCTAGATCACTTTGTTCTGAAAAAGAATATCGCTAAAAATAAAATTAAACAAATTTTATAGTGAGAACATACAAGTCAGTCAGAAATTTTAGTATGCTTTAATATTCGGCATACAATATTTATCAAAGATTTGGATAGAAATCTAAATTTAAGCGACTTCATCAATTTCTTGTACAATGAATACAGAGCAGGAGGGCCTACGAGTATTCATAGAGATAAAAGACACCCAAAATTGAAGACACTCGTATAAACACACTTACTTCCTAAGTGAAAATACTTCTTTGTTCCCCAAACCGCTCCAAAAAATCGCAAATACATACGAAGTTCTTAAAACTTTCGTAGCACAGAGGATTAATATTACTCATTTAAAGAGTATTTTATTTATGTGCTACTGCTATAAATAATACACGGGAAGTTCTGTCCAGCTCTAAATTACTGCAACTGTAAGTGTAAAGAAATATACAAGCCACACATGCCGGCGCCATTACTTTCATTCAACTAGACTGGAGACCCATCTAGCGGCGTTTATTGTAAGCTTCCCCCCGGAAACGGTTTACGACAGTCCATGGTTTTCATTTATTTTGATGCTGTATCATCGGAGCTATAGAAGTGGTAATTTATGGTACAGGGTGTCCCACATCATATTAGACCGAGAACGGTTCTAAATTACGATTTTCGGGACTAATTAGAAAATTTCATTAGAATGAATCATTTTGAAAAATAACATAAGGCTTATATAATCGAATTTTCTTGCGGAAAATGATAAGTTTTTCGAGTACTAAGGGTTTATTTTGGTGTTATAGATTGGAGGCAATCTAATATGATATGGGACGCTCTGTATCTTAAATAAATCATCATCATATTCAAACTTTTAAACCGACATAATTAATCATAATTAAGTTTTTAAAAAATTCTATTTATAAATTTAAAATTCAGGGGCTGCATTAATTTTATCTATCATCAATTATTTTTGATTAAACCCGATTCGTGACAATCACACAGCCATTAAATTATATTATAGGATGTCGTGGTAGTTCGCTTGATACGAGATAAAATTTCTCTCTTTTCATTTACGGAAAATATAAAGTCGTCTTTGAAATTTTTAATTACAATAGGTTTGAATTTTTTCTTTTCTTCCAAAAAATATAGCCTTAACGAGCTAATTGCTGGAGACTATACCATTATCCCCATTAATCTGGAACACTATACAAGTCCAGAACTATAATTAGATCGTCTTTCAGGCAAATTTAAAAGTTTTATTATAAATGTGATGTACAGTATACTAGTTTAACTTAAAAAGATAATTATCAATGTGATAGCACTTCAGTTTTAAAAAGTATCGTTATTTCTAATTTTATGTAACACTTGTATTTAGAACTGCTATTATCATATAGCACTTGTATCAAAAAGTAGCATTATTAACATTGTGATGTAGCTATGACCTGGGCAAAGTTCCGTTAACGGAACGGAGGTTTTTCGAAAATAACGGAAGAGTCTGTTAACGAACGGCAAAAACCGTTGATTATTTAACCATTAACAAAACATATTAGCCGTTTTTACAAAAAAAAAAAGGTAAGGATCATCTTCTAAAAAAACGTTGAATTTCTTTTTTTCTGCTTAAAATCACATTAAACTTTTAAAAAGAAAAAAATTTACGTGTCATTTTTATTTCAATGTGATAACACTTGTATTGAAAAGTATCATTATTATCAATGTGATGTAGCACTTGTATTGAAAGGTATCATTATTATCAATGTGATGTAGCACTTGTATTGCAAGGTATCATTATTATCAATGTGATAGCACTTGTATTGAAAGGTATCATTATTATCAATGTGATACACTTGTATTGACAAGTATTATTATTATCAATGTGATGTAGTACTTGTATTGAAAAGTATCATTATTATCAATGTGATATAGTACTTGTATTGAAAGTATCATTATTATCAATGTGATAGCACTTGTATTAAAAGGCATCATTATTATCAATGTGATACACTTGTATTGACAAGTATTATTATTATCAATGTGATGTAGTACTTGTATTGAAAAGTATCANGGGGGTGGAGGGAAGGGGGGATGGGCAAAACAAAGAATTTTATTTGTTTGTTCAATTTATAGAAAACTTATATATCGGGAAATGGGAAATGTCACTGGATAAAAACATTGGAATGTTAGTTCATTCAGAATTGATAAAAATATGCTAAATATGATAAAATAGAAATACAGGAGCTCATTAGAAAGCACGATTTAAAGGTTAAACCAAGACTTTTACATTTATAATTTATAATTAATTTAATTTATAATTACTAATGGATTAATGAAAAAGCCAGTGCAATACTATAAATCTCATCTTGTATGGGATAACTATAAGACCCCGTTCAAAACAAACTGTTAATACACTGAGTACCAGAAATTTTTGTAATAGGAAGACGACTTTAAGACTCAAATTATTATTTTAGATAGTCTGATGTAAATGAGAGACAGCAAATGTGAAATGTAGACAGATCATTTCACTTTATAGCTGATTTTTAAGCGTCTATTAACCCTTTTTGCTTTGTAACAACAACATCAAATACATTTTGAGGGTTGTTTTAATCAAATAGATTATCAAGTACAATAAGTGACAACGTTATAGAATGCGTACACTCTGTATCTACGTCACAAGTGTCAATTTAGTTGTATGCAATGTGTCTGACAAAATTATTAATAGCAGTTAGAATTCTAGATTTTTTTGTGTTCTTTATTTTCTTTTTTTACACTTTTTTTTAATGCCCTCTTGACTAAATAAACATGTTGAAACTGATATTGTGAATTACGTTCTAACATTTTAATTTGAATAGATAACGTTACATTTTAACTTAAAACATCAAACATGAAATGTTTAATGGTATATTCGGGGAAGTCTTTTAAAAATGTTTTACTGAGGTTAAAGCCTTCGATCCGCATGGGAAATGCAGGCATCAAGAAAAGGTGTTTTAATGATTAAATTAATTAAAAATATATATGTATATATCTGGCATATATAAATGTAGGTAAACTGTCGTCTTCCTTGTTACATTCGACACTTGTGACGTCGTGTATAATGATTGGTCCTTTTCCCTCTTGCCAACTATTGTACTTGATTATCTATTTGGTTTTAATGTCACTTTCTATTCCAGAGTTTTTTTTGTTCTCACTGCAGGTTAAATAGAAATAGAATTCCTGAATTACCCTAAACTATTACCCTAAACTCCGAGTAGCTGATTTTACCATCTTCGTTTTTATCCACAGTCTTTATCATCTCATCTATTTCTCTAAAAAATATTTGTTTTTCTTCCTTTTTTTGCAATTTATTTTCTATTAAATACTTTTTATTGCGCCTTTTCTGAATTATAAATGAATTCCTGTTAGATTTTATGAAAAATTGAGATCTTTTAAACAAAGTGTAAACGCCAATGAAATGTGTGTATTAACATGGAAAATTTATTAAAGTTTAAAGTTGGAATAGATATAATATTACGCTTAAAAACTTATTCTTTTAAAGAGAAATATTATTTTTGATGATATTTTATAGTGGTAGGAAAAAAGCAACATATTGATTTGTCGATAATCAGTGTTGCTCCCACAATTCAATTCAACATTTTTTTACTTATACTGCAGGTTCAAATTCGTCTAAAATTTTGGGAAGGGTCCCTTTTGTGATGTTTGTGATGTTAAAGTATTGAGGTAAGGTCAAGAAATCTAACGACCCACCAAACCTTTTCTTTTTTTATTTTTATTTAGAGATATTTAAAACTTGTGCTTTTTCAAGTAAAAATAAAATTATAAAAAATTTCTTTTCTCAAAATGATCCTAAGCGTGTACTTTGAATGAATTGAAAATATTCTTGGAATAAAATGAGGATTGATCTTAATCACTCTGGGCAGTAGTAAATTTTAATTCGAACAGGACCTGCCCATTTTGTACCGGCCTGCCAGATAACAGCGTGTACTGACCCGATCCTATGGTACAGTACGTCGCTCTAACCAGACTAACATACAACAGGGGTCGGAGGGCTAACAAAGACAACTCCCATGGCGCGTTTAGACTTTTTACAGTACCCGGCCTAATCTTAGGCCTATTTGACCGACCCCACTGGCTTAGTCCACCGTGTAGTATATCTAAACGCAGAAAAAATTGTTAATTTAAATGAACCTAAGAAAAGAAAATCTTAAATTTTTCTTTCAATTTTTAATAAAAATGGGTCAGCGTTCGAAAGTTAAGGCAGGTCGTTTTGTCTCAATTTCATCATAAAACGTCGATTTGAGTAAATAAAGGTGCGCCAAAATTCATTGAATTTATTTAATTATTTTTTTTTTTTTGATTTTGTAAAAAATGTTTTTACATTAATTAGCATATACAAGTTTTTTAAGGACTATGATAAAGAAATTGAGTCTTTGCCCAAGGTCTAAAGTTCTAATACCTATATCTTTGCAATCTGATGGTGAAAATCTTTGATTAAATTATCTGATTTAAAGAAAATCGTAGTTTGAAATGTCTAATATCTAATATAATAATATCTAATATCTTTGATTCGTTCAGTTCAATAAATTATACGGCGGGATGCATTGAAATTCAGAAAACATAATTTATACTTGTCCACCTTCTGGTTTCAGAACCTTTAAGACACTTACTGAGAGGATCTGAACATTTCTTATAAAAACACTGAATGTTTTAAATTTTATTCAAATAGATTATATTTACCTGTATGTGATTTTTCCCGGTAAATGCATCAACACAAATCTAAAACATACATATGTCTATATAATAAAACAAAACATTCGTATTTATATATATATATGTTGCGTATAGCCGGCCATACGGCTGGACCAAATGGGATAACATTTTTTTGTGGACACTCAGGGGTGCCCGGGGGGGGGGGGGTGTTAAAGGCTAAAAAAATTAGATTTTTTCTTCAATTTTTTTCAAATTTTTTTTGCCACAGGCAACGCCGGGTCCTTCAGCTAGTATATTATATATCTGTTGTATCATAAATTCTTTTCTGTTCTTTTCTGTTTTGCGTTTTATGTCAACTGGAGTTTGAACTTTGTTTTGTGAACCTCTGTATCAAGAATTTATCTTTAAGTTAATATGCAGACCTGCGGATTCATTTAATTCATCTTTATATTTCCCGTAGTGGTAATACCCTGTAGGGATAACTTTTACTAAAGGATTAAGCATTTTCCCCCAAATTTAAAAGTGCTCACATTGAATATTAAGATTAATCATTCAAGATACGACATACGCCATGCACAAAAGTTCCTGGTTTTAAAGGAACCAGAAATTAAAACTTTTCTCTCCTCGTCCTCCTCCTCCTCCAATAACTTACTTGATTTCCTCTGCTGGAATACAACCCTCCTCATCTTTACTGAATACTCTGAAGGTTTCTTTGTATCCAGTTTCTAAACAGTATTTTCAACAGCATTATATAAGTTCTATAAACTATTCACAATGATATCGTTAAAAACTAAATCTATTCAACAACCGATGACGGATTTTTAAAATTTGAATGGCGCACAAGATAAGTGGCTGAACCGGTGTACTGGTACATGGTTCAATAACAAGGAATTACAAAATTTGAGTTTGTGGCAAAGACTTAATTCCTTTATGACCATAATAATTTCTGACATTTGAAGTTTATCGATAAAAGGAAAACTAGAACCTCTCGCCAGAAACTCCAATTTTCTCAAGGTAATAATGCAAGGAAATTTATTTCAGAGGTGTACGAATTTTTTGTACTGCAGTGTACTGTCTTTAGGTGGAAAAGTAAACACAAGGCGGATGGTCACAGTCTGACATGGAATCCATTTTCACAAAAATAATCTATGAAATATTCTGGTCATAGGAAACTATTATGTGAATTTTCAAAGTTTTCAAAATTAAATGCCTTTAACCTCCTCGTATACTGAACGAACACTGATGCATCTATTCTTGTTTACAAAGTCCGCCCTGAGAGAACTGGTTTCAATATGTACGCAGAGTATACGTGACTGCAATTAACTTTCCTTGCACGAGTACCTTGAATTTTCTAATCCATATGCTTTACAACCTGATTTTGTAAATAATTTATATTTCAAACTTAGACTATTTGATCAAACAGAATTTATAATTTGAAATATCTAATGTTAATTAAAGATTGTGTCAAGTGCTGAGTTCTTTTACTTAATTATATACTCACCTTGATCTGCCTGCTTATTCTGTTCCGTCATGATATAGCAGAATTCCTAAATATTTTCAAATAAAATATTTTTTCAGAATTTTACATAAAAAATAGATTGTTGATATTGTACTGCAGAGTAATTCACATATTTACGCGTAGCTTGCACTTTACACCTTGGCAAGAATAAATTCAGTATTTTCGTAGTTAGCAGATAATGTTTCTAAAAAATTAAAAATCTTTGCAATTTAACCTCTGCTCTAAAGGTCGTCTTTGAAATCTCATCCTTTGCGATTAAACCCGTAGCTAATTTATGCATGAAAATCAAACAAATATGTTAAACTTTGAAAAGTAATTTAGAATCATTCGAAAATGTTCAAAGTTTAAAAAATGTTCAATATGTTTCTGATGTTTTTGACATGTTATTATAACATAGTTTATACATAATTAATAATATGCACAAAAAGTGTTTTATAAAGTCTCCCGGGTATTGGAGAGGGGGGGGGTATAGTAAATGCAAAATAAAAATGGGGGGGGGGGTGTTGTAAATGCAAAAGATAGAGAGGGGGGGATAGGATGAAAATAAAGTAAACATAAATTCATCTTTCACCATATCTGCACTTTCAGAAAATTAAAACCAGGAAAGCTCCAGGATTAAGATATATCGATGCTTTTTTTTGACAATTAATTAAGCTTTGTATAAAAGATTAATACAACATCTTTAAAATTATTTTAACAGAATTACAAGATTTAAAGGTTTTACTTATTACCTATTACCTAACGATTGAACTATTTCCCACTTGTACTACTTGTATGAAAACTCGAGACCCCCTCCCCCGCGCCCACGGGTAAAGGAAGGTGCCCCCCAAACGGGTAAAGGAAGGTGCCCCCTCTGAACTCCGAGGCAAAGCAAAACAAGCCACCTGTGCTTAGTGTTTATTCTTATTTACAGAGAAATCTGATAGAATTACCAAAATACAATGAGAATCTGGAACAAGAAAACTACTTTCAGTTATACGTTTTATATGATTTTTAATAGTCAAATAAACATGAAACACAGCAATTGTGCAGGTGGAAATAGACCCATTTTACGGAATAAATGATTTAATAAGTTTCCAGTAAAACCTTTTGCTTTGTAACAACATCAAATCCACTAGATTGTTGTTTTAATGTCGTCTTCCTATTCCAGTTTTCTGATTCTCACTGTGTGTGTCTTCCAAATTTTCCTTTTTTTAATCTTTCACACACTTTTTGTGTTTGTGAGGATGGACGAAGGAACAAGAACATATGCTTGGAATAAAAATTAAATATTTATGTAAAATATGATATATCTACTACTCCCCTATATATATATATATATACTGGTGAGATATGTGAACATGAGAGAATTTAAGTTTTATTATGAAAGGAAAAGGCACTGAACTTATATAGCTAAATCTAGATGAAGATGAACAAAGAGCTGGCATGAATTTATGTTCATATTGTTAATATTTTCAGCAAGAAACTGAGTTATTAGATTAGATGAGATAAAGAATAATTACATTGATTCTTTGTGCCATGAAAGTTTCAAGACTTGGTCGACTTTAAAGTGTCGCAACAACATTGGCCTTTGATTTTACGTCACTTTATCTACTTAATATACCTCACTTTATCTACTTAATATACCTCACTTTATCTACTTAATATACCTCACTTTATCTACTTAATATATATGTTTTTTTTTTACTTAACCATGACTATAAACAATCAAACTATCTAATTCATTTGTGAATAATTTTTCAGAATGCTTTACGAGAAACTAATTTCATCAAGTTTTTAATTTTCAATACCAATCTATAAATGTGATTTTATTTGTTTCTTTAAATTAGATCCTTCCTTTTTTCTCTGCTGAAACTAAGAGACTTTATTGACGACCTGCAACTTGCAAGTTTAGTGATTTAAAGGTTTCATTTGATCGATGCCTTCTAATTTTTTAAATGCTGTATTAAATGATTTTGAGAAGTAATAAATAAGTTAACAATTGCAGGAAACCATGTAAGAAAAAAGACGTAATAAATTTCGTACAGTCCCCGAAGTCTTATCCTTTGTGGGTAAAACCCAGGGAGTAAGGAATAAAGATGCTATATCGTTTGCACTAATGTCCGATTGAACTAACGTACTTTTGCACTAAAATCAGCTGATCAGTTACACTTGTGGCTGCAGCACCCGGCCCCCTAGCCTGTCCTAGCCGCAGCGGTCGGCCCAGAAATTGTCCTAACCTAACCCTCAATTAAAACGTTAGTCCGAATGAACGTTAGTGCGAATTTACGTTAGTCCGATCAATCATTAGTGCAAACGATACGACACCGGAATAGAAGGGAGATACAACTGACGCGGTTCGCCTTACCATAGATTATACATGCTTTGCAAACGATACTTCATTTGAATAAGAAATATTTGTCTGATGCACAATTACCGCGTAGACAATAACCTATTCTGTATATTTCTTATACAAATAGAGTACCCGTCTGCAAAGCATGTATAATCATATGGTAGGGCGAACCGCGTCAGTTGTATCTCCCTTCTATTCCTTACTCCCTGGTAAAACCATTGTACGTGAATGTAATGTGAATTGTGTACACTGAGAACTCTGTGTTTATTATATGTCCATTACTCTACCCTTTTTTGGAAACCGGAAGTTTGGAGAGAGGAAAAGATAATAAGACAAATTGCAAACAGGAAACAGAAACCATTCATGCATTCAAATTCTTCATGTAGTTTCTCTTATCATTGAGGTTCAGTCTTTTTCCTTCCTTATTTTGATGAAGACTATAGACAGGGTGTCCAATAAACATGGAAAGAAAGAGACGACTTTAAAGTCGTCTCTGGTTTACGCTATTAATATTTAACAAAGTGTGCAGCATTAAAAAAAAGTTTGTAAGTCTAATGAGTTTTCCAAAATTTGATTTTCATACATTATACCTAGAGATTCACAATTTTGTTGGGTTTTAATAAGTTGGAATCTGGACAAAACTCTCAATATCTGCGCCAATTTTGAAAGTGCAAAAATGGTAGACCATATTTTGGAAACCCCGAGACTAGTAGTATTCTGTTATACTTTTATATTTGTGAATGATGCCGCATCAAGCAAAGAAAATATAAAAGTTACTTAATCCCATCTTTAGTGCATCCAGTATCACATAATATAATCATCTTCATGCATCTTGTTGCTGTAAAATCCCTATTAGGGGATCTAGTTTTATGATTTGGAGAGGTCGCTGAGCTTCTTACCACCGGTTCAAATCCTAAATCACCTATTCAAAGTTAAAGATTCATGAGGATTTAGGTATTTAATTGGAGAGTGAATCGGCAATTAAGGCTTTGAAACAGCGGTAGGTTGTTCAACGGCTTCTAGTAACTCATTAAATCTGATTTAAATACGTTCTGTTTCTTATGTATTTATATCTTTATTTTTTCCTGACAATCTTGCTGTTTTTTTTCTGCACCCTACCCTACCCTGCATCTCTAATGAAATTACTGAAAACTTGGATAAAGTTAAGGTCCCTTCAAACTAGAAAATAGTATAAAGTAATTTCAATTTAGACGTTTGGTCTTCTCCTGATCAATTTTTATCTAACTTTTCAAGTATTTTTATTTCTTGAGTCATGGGAACTCATGTATTTTGTAGATCTAGATCAATGCTTGATCTAGATCTTTTGTTAATCTGCAGAATAATTCAACCTTTAAACGATATTCCTAATTGTGATCGTACCCAGGGGTTGAAGGAGGGAGGAGGGGTGACTGCTCTCAGGGTTTTGGAATTGCTCCCAGGGTTTTGGACTAAATTGTGAAAATTCATCCGATATTTTATGACAAATCCTTTAAAAACGGTACTTTAAAACCTAAAATTGAAAAAAAAGCTCTGCTACCTCTTTTTTACTGTCTTTGTTCAGATATTTGCAGGGTAAAAATCGCAAATTTCAGTCCTAGTAGCCTGTGGCGATCATATAGTTTAGATTAAAAAATGACGACATTTATTTTAGCTTATACTTTAAAGATTTTTGGTAAATGTAGAGAAAAAATCTTTTTTTTCAGTTTTTTTCAGAAAAATTTAATTATTCGCCTAAAATAATCTTAAATTGATTGGTGCCATTAAAAAATTATCATTTTCTCTCAGATAAATTTTCATTGATTCTAATTTGTCTAAGAGTAAATGGCATTCCTTTGTAAAAAATAACAAATTATTTTTATTTTTGCCAAAACCCTGGGAACAACTCTAAAATCCTGGGGGTACTCCAAAACCCTGGGAGCAATTCCAAAACCCTGAGAGCAGCCATCCCTCCCTCAGGGAAAGGTGACGTTTTTTACATAATTTCAATTTTCAAGCGACCATTGATGGAAAGGGAACAATGCCCGACGTACAACGGTACCCTGGAAACCTTAACCTTAACTCGAAAAGTGTTTTTTTTTCTATAAAACTCTCGATTGTTTCTTATATGCAAGAAATACGCAAGTCACTTTTGCTGAGAAACCACAAATGAAAATAAACAGATCAACAAAAACATGGATATCTAATTCATACTTGATCGGACAAAGCTTTGAAGGGTAATAGTGTTTATCGGGCATTGTCATATTTGCATGAAGGGTCACTTGAAATTAAAGGCTTACAGATTACAGTCCTTTTAAATTAAAAGTGATCTTTCATTAATTTATACTTCTATTCTTCTAACCCTTGGATCCTTATCTTTTACACTTATTCTTATAATCTGATAATACTAATATGTCATCTAATCTTCTACTTCTATCAAATCAAACCATATTTATAAGCACAGTAGATAAGCTGGTGTATGGATTGGACAATACATACACCACTGTTTGTTTACTAAGAGCTTTAAGTAAACTATTTCTATGTTTACTAAAACATGATGGATAGATTCAAGCAAAACATTAACTTATCCCACAAGCGCCATTCATGACATATTGCGTCAAAAGTTTTAAAAAGTTTTTTAATGTTTAGAACATATATGTTTTTGTAAAATATACATAATATTCCCTCCATATATATATAAAAACCTAATTGAATAATTAAGAAAACTAATCTGACTATGGCACGATACTACACTAGCTGATTAATCTGAACTAATCTAGAAATAAATTAGTGTTTTCCTTTACCTTCAGTTAGTGATGTTTTTAAACTAAACTTGAACCTAGATTAATATTGTTTCCTAACTAAACCTAAACCTAGATGCAATGATTTCTTTAGAATGACCGGTTTCAAACTACTCTCACTATATAAACTGTGTTTTATTTAATTCTTTATTCAGATGGTGTTACTTGGTAGAAGAGAGTTTGGATGTTTAACTGAAATAGATTGAAGTATTATAGCAACAATATAACATTGATAAGAACAATTTTTATAATGATTTCATATAATTACTAACACGAATGTCATCTATTAAGAAAGAAAACAAAGTAAGTTTACATCACCGTCCATGGTTGGTTTAGGCCTTACTGAAGCTATACTCAGAATCCAGGCATACATAAGGGTGTGCGCGTAGCAATTGAAATGTACATATTCTATATAGTAAAATGGGAATAGATCAAATGCCTAATTTCAAAACACTAGATTAGTATTGTTTCCTGACTAAACCTAAACCTAGATTAGTATTGTTTCCTAACTAAACCTAAACCTAGATAAGTATTGTTTCTTAAATAAACCTAAACCTAGATTAGTATTGTTTCCTGCCTAAACCTAAACCTAGATTAGTATTGTTTCCTAACTAAACCTGAACCTAGATTAGTATTGTTTGTGATAAAAAGTACGACGCCGCAAAACCATATTGCTCCAAGTGTCAGTAATGTTTAAAAAGAGAAATGCTTTTAATATTTGTGATTGCTTCTTGTCAAAATATAACTTTATTTAGTACATTTTCTGGGAATAATACGAAGAAGAAGAGTTGGGTTGATTTGGCTCCAGGCACAAATACAGGGTGTCCCAAAAAACATGGGAATTCAGTGACGAATTCGATATCGTCTTTTCAAATAATTCTTTGATTTAGTATAGTGATACCTACTGAGAAAGCTGTAATCTATAAGAGTTTCGTCTGCTATGTTTACATTTTGTTTGTTTATGTTTTGACTGCAACCGGTTGTACTTAGTAAAACAAGAAAATTACAGTATACAAACAGAGTAAACTTGTCCGTATTCACTGTTCATCTTGCGGAGACATTATAGACACATCTTTGCAGTCTTTTACCCTTTTCATAAAATAAACTCTAGCAGACGTAATAATATTATGGCTTTTGAAATTAGGTATTACAGTGCTAATTCATAACAAAGACGATATCCAATTCGTCACTGAATTCCCATATTTTTTGGGACACCCTGTACCAATGCCGAAAATTTAAAAGAATTTATTTCATTGCATTTTCCATAAATTCGCCACTTTAAAAGAAAATCTAAAATTGTTGAGCCTTACTATGATCTTGCCATGCTACGTTTGTTGCAGAAAATGTTTAAAATTAACCATGGGTACACCAGACAGGACGGTACACCTGAATGCATACACAGTACATTTTGTACCGGCTCGGATCATGCAACAATTGGAGCAATGCAAGGAACTAATGAAAGGAAAATTGCGGTCACGTATACTCTGCGTGCGTGTTGAAACCAGTTCTTTCTGGGCGGACTTTGTAAATAAGATTAGATGCAACAGTGTTCGTTCAGTATCCGAGGAGGTTAAAAGCATTTAATTTTTATAATTTTGAAAGTTCACATAATAGTTTCCTATGACCAGAATATTTCATAGATTCTTTTTGTGAGAATGAATGGATTCCATGTCAGGCTGTGACCATCCGTCTTGTGTTTACTTTTCCACCCAAAGACAGTACACTGCAGTGCAAAAAATGCGTAACCTCTGAAATAACTTTCCTTGCATTAGTACCTTGGAGAAATGTGGCCTTCGTGCCAGTTTGTTTACCGCTTAGTTTAAAGACAGTTAAATTATATTTTAAAATTAGATATTATGATACAAAGAGTATATGTTTCAGCTCCTGAGTTGCCAAAATGTCGTGATGTAGCAACAACTTTGGTGTTGCCAGAACTGGCAATTTTTTAATGGAAGGAGCTGATTTAAACCCGTTCCGTCGATTCAATCAATAGTTACTGCCGATATCACCGCTTCCTGTGATTATTTTTAACTTGATTATAAACAATTTTTGGGATAAAATTAGACAAAGTGTAATATGTAGACTGATCTGAAAACTTTTGTATTGGATAAGATTTATCGGCTTTTGATTGGCTGTCGAATTCTGCTATTAACACTCTGATTGGCTGAATTTTAAACACTTTACAGGATTAAATTAATCTTGAGATTAACAAAGAGAGGAGATCCACAATTCTAAAGTTATCAGCACTATCTCCTGAAATGTAAAGCCGTTTTTTAATCTTAAATTGCACAATTGCTGTCTTATTAGTTAAAATGTAGATTTGAGCTAAAACATTCAAGAAGTGAAAAATGACAGAAAAACTACCGAGTCAAAATAGATTATTTTGATTCTGGATCTTGTATCTGCCGGAAAAGATTCCCTGTGATAGACATTGAGTTTTCCTACTTTTTGTTTTAAACCAGAATTTTATGAATATTCTTGCCTAAATGTCAAATATAATTTCTTCCAATGCTCAAGGGTTTACTATTACCAGCCTCATGTGTCTTGAATACCCTTGTACATAATGGTTGTGGCCTTTTAAAGGAAGTGTTTGCGAAAAATAAGCGCTTTTGATCGCTACTAATCTTAGTTCTATCTGTTGGAGAATATTGTTAAGAACGACTCATGCTGAAGAACGTAGCGTCCATACAAATTCAGAAAGTTGCAACATTCAAATCGGATCGTAAAATAATCAATTTAATTTCAAACAAATCATTCAGATATTACGACCAATAGTCATCGATTATTTTTCGACGCATTAGTTTAAAGTTAATATTACATATATTTTTTGATTTTGTTTTTTAAAACAATATTTCGCCGGCGCTGGATTTTCGAACATTTCTGGAAAATATGAAAATGTCGTCTTCATTATCAAAAATCCTTGAAACAGGAATAAATGTTTTCAAAAGTATATAACTATCAGATCAAAAAAAATAAAAAGAATATTATGAAATATCAACTAAATGCAAATCGTCGAAAAATTATCGATGATTACTGGTTGTAATATTTAAATGGTCAATTGTTTACAAATATAACAAACCTTTCTTTTTTAATACCTGGACTTTTATTATTAAACGTTTGAACAATCATATCTGCAGCGTTTGCAAAATGTGAAGGTTATAGAAATTTTGTTCTGCACTATTCTCAAGTTTAGCACCGCCTGTCAACAACCAAACAGGTCCCCACATCCCAATTCAATTTTCAAAATGTGTGTACTTAAATCCTTAACCACCAACCTCTATTTACTTACTGTTAAGGATTAAAGGGGCTGTGTTGATATAATTTCAAGTGTCCCTTCATTTGTAGAGTGGCATTTCTCAACAGTGCCCTTAGATGTTTGTCAGCTGATTCAGGATGATGGAGTGAGTGATCACGTAATTTAATTGTAGATGCTATTGTTGGTAACTATAGTTACCATATTCGTTGTCGCCATCATATTTAGCGTTGATTTGAATAATTTCTTCGTCGTCGAAGAGCAGACAAAGGTTTTAAGGTTTATACTGATATGAATCAGACATGCCACTTCACTCTATATAAACGAATGGTCATTTGAAATTACGTCAACAGTTCCTTTAAGATTTATAATATTAAGTATTCAAGGTGCGGAGTCTGAACTGACCTAACTTTTTGCATTGCCTAAACACTCAACACCACTGTAATTAAATTCTGAAAGTTTCACAGATTTTCAAATAATCCAACCTTACTTTAGGACAGGAGTGATAGAGGGAAAGGGACCTGGGGGGGGGGGGGGTCCATGGATCAAGAAAGGGTGGGAGATCAGGGTATAGATATGGTACCAAAAAATGAACAATCTTATTATTAAGGAGGGATTGCAGCGTACCGTGTAGACGTTAGTTCAAGTGAACATCATTTAAGACGTCGCATGTTCAATTCACAACGGAACTCTTTAATTTTTCGCTAAATGAAAAAATGCCTCCTTCATCCTTGATGTGTGAACTTTGGCATGCCACTTGAAGTTATGTTTGCATTCCATTTAATATAATCACACACTACAATCCATGCATTTTTAGTAGAATTAATTTAGGATTCAAGAGCTTAAGAAATTTAACGTCTTCCAAATACGGGTTTTAAGAAGCTTTTTTTCCAACTCTAATTTTCGTATCCTAAAATCTTAGCTACGTGATGGTACAAATCCCAATATCTTAGCTACGTGATGGTGCAAATCTTTAAGTATTCAAACTTTTAATATCTAAAGGTTCTGACATTAGGTCTCAAAGATGTAAGGATAAATTAGAAAATTAAAGTTTAAGGTGAGTATTCATATCCCTGTAAAAGATTAAAGCTGTATCTGGATCAATGAAAAACTACTTTTGCTTTAAAAAATTGAAAAATAATGATCAAAACTCTAACCTGAAAATCCAGGCACCCTGAGTCATCATCTATTTTGTTAATGATATCTAGAACTTCAACATCGGTAGGGTTTTGACCAGCTCTTCGCATAGCGGCCTATATAGTATATAATATACATATAATTTTTAATGGGTTTCAGATTCATTTTTTGCAGATTTTATCATCGTTAGTTGACAATATGTTCTAAAAAGAAGGATATACGATCTTTGATCCAAGCTGAGAACTCTTGTATTGTGGATAACGAGATCTACGCTTGATCTCTGTCTTTTGTTAATCTGCAGATTACTTTAATCTTTATTTGATATCCTGCAGTGAAATTTTGTCCTGAAGGGATAAATAAAATGAAGGAATCAAGCATTCTCATATTAGAAGTGCCCTCAGTAGGTATCGAGATCAAGCATCCTCATATTAGAAGTGCCCTCAGTAGGTATCGAGATCAAGCATCCTCATATTAGAAGTGCCCTCAGTAGGTATCGAGATCAAGCGAACGGGATTATGAGTATTTAACACCAAAAGTTTCTAGTTTAGAGCTTTAAGCTCTTGTACTGCATGGATGATATCGAGATAAATACTTGATTTCCTCTTTTTGTTAATCTGCAGATATTTTGATTTTCATTCGATATCCAGGGAAATGTTAAAATTCAATTAATTAGAGTGTTGTTTGTAAAAACCTAACAGCCAATCAGAAACCGAGTAATTTAAGTAAGTTTATATCTGTTATTTTTCACATGTTGGATTTGTTTAACTTGATATTCCATGAATTGTTATACTGTACAGTGCAACTTCAGATTTAAAGACACAGTAAACGTTAGAAACTCTTACTGTTAAAACTAACAGTGTCGAAAGTTTACAAAGAGGCAATTATTTAGAATTGCAAATATTCAATGAAAAGACGATTGATTGAGACTTGAGAGATTTTCGCTGTAATTTCTGAAAATTGAGAACATGCCTGCCACACTACGTGTATATACTCTTATAGAAAATATTGCGTATTTTTACTTCAAAGATATAAAAGAAATCCCTCTCTATATGTTTAAGGGGTATAAATACCTGAAGTGAACTGTATTTTATTTTCCCATTGTGTCCCCAGTCAAAAGCATCAAAGGCCGCCTGGTAGGATTTAAACTCCTCTGGTTCCATCTGGTCTCCCATTATACTAGATATATTCTGGTTAAATGGATCTATCACCACTCACCAGTTTTACAAGAGATGTTTCTCATTATACTAGATATAATTCTGGTTAAATGGAGCTATCAACAGTTTTAGAGGATAGTTCCCCATTATACTGAAGTCACACTTTTTTATATTTTTTATATTTTTATATTTTTTATATATTTTGTGTCATTTTATTGTCATTTATAGTTTTGAACCATAATCATTAATAATCGTGCATAAAGCAGGAGAGATTAAAACATTTAGTAACACGGTCAAGAAATTCTGAAATCTGGCATCACGCTGTAGGACATTTTAGAACCAGTCACATTTGAGAAAAGAGAAGCACTTTAAGCTTAACGGATATATTTACTTTTATTGTTTATTGGGTTGTGTTGTTTATTGAGACCTTATTCAATATTCAATATTCTTTCATAAAATACTCTTTGTTTAATGTGTATATTGTGTATACTTCCAAAAACAGAAATTATGACCCGATAATTAAAAATTGAACCTTTTCAAAAATAATGAAATTCAAAAAATATACCAGAAAATATGCATGTTGCAGCGAATATCGAAGTATTTTCATATCACGCTTTATACGAGATATATCCTGAACCCGGTATTAGGCTAATAAATTAGAGAAAAAATATTAATATTTTGCATTGCTTTACTTTAAAAAAAAATAAAGATACAAATGTTTGTACACTGCGGAGATCAGATAAAAATTTTCCGACACAAATTTTTTTATTAGATTTCCTAGAAATAAATAAATAAATAAATAAAAAATACTTATAAGGTAAATATTTTTTATTGATTTTTGATTGAATAATTGAGGAACGTTAATATCAAGCTTTTCTATTTCACAATTTTTTTTTACTCTTCTCCTCTTCTTTCCTCTTCTTTTTTCTCTTCTCTTCTTTTTTCCTTTTCTTTTTACTCTCCTCCTCCTGTTTCCTCTATTTTTTATTCTTTTTCTCCTCATTCCTCTTCTTTTTCTCTTTTCCTTTCCTCTTCTTTTTACTCTTCTTCTTTTCTATTCTTTTCTTTATACTCCTCTTCTCTTCAGTCCTCTTTTTTACTCTTCTCTTCTTTTTTCCTCTTCTTTTTACTCTTATCCTCCTCTTTCTTCTTCTTTTTACCCTTCTCCTCCTCTTTACTATGTTTTTTACTCTTCTTCTCCTCCTTCCTCTTATTTTTTTCTTCTCCTCTTATTTCCTCTTCTTTTTACTCTTCTCGTCTTCTTTCCTCTTCTTTTTTATCTTCTCCTCTTCTTTTCTCTTCTTTTTTATCTTCTCCTCTTCTTCCTTTTTTTTCTTCTCTTCTTTGGTCTTATTTTATCTTCTCTTCCTCTTATAATTTTAGTGAAAATGCGAAATAAGAATGAATAAAATCTGTAAGGTCATCTTTCTCTAAAGATTGAGGTAAACCCTGTCTATAGCTAGAGCTAAGCCACAATGTCGTAAAATCCATTTTTATCTGTTTTACGCTGCAGCCGTTTAGATAAATTGTAATTTCCTTCTTCCTTATTGCCTTGACTGAGAACAAAAAGGCACAAACTGGAATCTATCAGGATTTTGCCAAATATCCTTTAACAATGAAAATTTGTACTTTTAAAGTCTTAATATTCAGTGTTGGAGCTTTGACAACTAAGGCGACACTTTAAAGTCGTTGCGGTTTTAATAGTTGATGCATAATTTTAGTATCTGTATAGATCGCTGTGTTTTAACTTGTTGTTTAGTCCATGTTGTTTGTTTCACTAGTTAAGTTTATGGTGTCCAATGTATTAAATAAAACAAGGCTAAATTTAGGAAAGAACTTACTCTCCACCCTATCACTGTACAGTTCACAAAAGGTTCTATTGTATTGTACAATTTCCAAAAGGTTCTACTATACTGTACATTTTACAAAAGGTTCTAATGTAAAAGGTTCTACTGTACTGTACATTTTACAAAAGGTTCTAATGTAAAAGGTTCTACTGTACTGTACATTTTACAAAAGGTTCTACTGTATTGTACATTTTACAAAAGGTTCTACTGTATTGTACATTTCACAAAAGGTTCTACTGTACTGTACATTTTACAAAAGGTTCTACTGTACTGTACATTTTACAAAATGTTCTACTGTACTGTACATTTCACAAAAGGTTCTACTGTACTTTACATTTTACAAAAGTTTCTGCTGTACTGTACATTTTACAAAAGGTTCTACTGTACTGTACATTTCACAAAAGGTTCTACTGTACTGTACATTTTACAAAAGGTTCTACTGTACTGTACATTTCACAAAAGGTTCTACTGTACTGTACATTTTACAAAAGTTTCTGCTGTACTGTACATTTCACAAAAGGTTCTACTGTACTGTACATTTTACAAAAGGTTCTACTGTACTGTATATTTTACAAAAGGTTCTACTGTACTGTACATTTTACAAAAGGTTCTACTGTACTGTAAATTTTACAAAAGGCTCTTTTGTATTGTACAATTTCCAAAAGGTTCTGCTGTACTGTACATTTTACAAAAGTTTCTACTGTACTGTACATTTTACAAAAGGTTCTACTGTACTGTACATTTCACAAAAGGGTCTACTGTACTGTACATTTTACAAAATGTTCTACTGTACTGTACATTTTACAAAAGGTTCTACTGTACTGTACATTTCACAAAAGGTTCTACTGTACTGTACATTTTACAAAAGGTTCTACTGTACTGTACATTTTACAAAAGGTTCTACTGTACTGTAAAAGGTTCTACTGTACTGTACATTTCACAAAAGGTTCTACTGTACTGTACATTTTCCAAAAGGTTCTATTGTTTTATACAATTCTCAAAAGGTTCTACTTTATGCACAGCTCAGAAAAGAATCTACTGTCCTGATCCCCACGTGTCACATGACAACTCTGACCGCGCTTCAGACGCGCGCCATGCATCTCCACCCTTCCCGGGGAGGGGCGCTTCACGCCTCGTTGATCTCCATGGTTTAGAGAGTAGCCAGTGTCCATGGTTTAGAGAGTAGCCAGTATCTTTCACTAAAAGTTCTACTGTCTGTAGTACAGTTCACAAAGGTACTATTGTAATGTACAGTACATTAAATGTTCTTTTATATTGTACAGTGCAGACAAGGTTCTATAAATTGTACTATATGTGTACAGTATACTCAATGCTTTACTGTTACTAGTCGTCAAGAATTAATGCCGGGATTAGAATTTGCTAAATTGCATTTTTTTCAGCTCTTTTACGGGATAATCAAAAGACTGGAAAAGTTAAAATATTTTAGAACGCTTTTAAAAATAAGCAATCGAGAAGTTGTTCAACTAGCTGTTCATAGTTCAACTATGTTGTCGCTATTTGTCATAACTGTGCAGTAAGATAAATATAAATTGTTCCAACTTTCTAGGATTTCGTGATCTTTCAAAATATCCAATATACAGTTTCTCTTTAAATTTAATAATTGATCAAATCATAGTCTTAAACTAAAACCTGAATATTACTCTATTCAAATGTTTTCAACACTTTTTCTTGTAAAGGTTATTTCTTTGTTTAACTCTATGTATATACTTTGTTTGTGTCCAATAAACGCCAAAACTTCTGAACCAATCGGGCCAAATTTTGGTGTGTGACCTCACATGACCCCAGGTAGGGTTTATGGAATAATAAAATTGGAAAAAAATTCCTGGAAAATAGTTGGAATTGTTTTTTTTTAAATCCGTCAATTCGAAAAGAAAAACCGGCCAAAACTTAAAAATGATTTAAAATGGTTTTCAGAGCAACAGCAACAAAACAGTCCAAGAGTTCTTATCAAAGGAGCTCAGGGTCCAGTAGTCCCAGAAGTAACTGCACCAGGCATTAGTGTGCCTGGAGGGGAGGTCAGGGTCCAGTAGTCCCAGCAGTAACTGCACCAGGCCTTAGTGTACCTGGAGGGGAGGTCATGGGGAAAAACACACTTTCCTGGTGATTATCAAATTCACAATTCTGGGATTTTTGGACCCCGGCCCTGGCTCGACAAATATGGTCCTGTGCCCGGTTGGATGTGAATAGAAGACATCAACAGTCCACACAGTCCCTCATCCTCCATGGTGAAGGTATTTGGGGACATACCAGGCGCAAACGTAATACATGAACCCTTGTACGCGCTTTACAGCCCGGGCCAGAGAGGTCGTCGATGCAAGAGGCGATTTTATTGGATAAACAAATTCATAAAAACAAGGAAACATCCTTTAAAAAATTTGGGTTAAAATTTTTTTTGTCAGTTTTAGAGATATTTCAATTTGGTCTACAAATACTGCACGCGCCCTGTATCATGTATTTTTTATATGAATATGTATATTTTAGATATATATTATTTGAACTTATGAGTTAAAAAATATAAACTGACACTACAGAGCTAGAACCAAAAAACGTTGAAATTAATGTTGTCTTCGTTCTTCCTTTCGTGTAATTGTCAATAGTTGGAAGTGATTAAAAGAAAAACTAACTTGTGAACCCAGCGCTGCCCAGGTTACTAAAAGATTACCCACACTTGAACGATTTTACCGGGGAAATAAATTTTCGCTATTTAAGTCGACCCACTCAAGTTTGAATCTCAAAACCAAGCAAAAATATTCCCTTGGTTCTCCTGAGTTTCCCAATCAAAATTTGAGGCAAATCAAGGGGTTCCTGAGTTATTATCGGACAAATAAACAGACAGATAGACAAACAGAGATTACAACTTTATATATAGATGTTCATGGCACTAATTTAGAAATAGTTTAGTTGGAAAATTACAAAATCAGAAGTGAAAAATAACGAAAATTCCCATATTTTTTGGTTCTTACTCAAAAAGTTGATAACACTTTTGTATCTTTAATTTTACATTTGTAAATCCTTTTCCTTCATGTTTCGATATTGGCAATGATCAAACATTCTTAATACAAAGTTGTATTTCCGATTTCTTGGAATATTTCTTGATATTCAATCCGTCATAAACATCTCAAAAATCCGAATTTGACTTCAGATAATCAATGACTATTGCAGTTTTCTTTTATTTGTCGTTTTGGCGTAGTTTTTCAAACAAACCTGGAGAAACAGAATCTGAAAACCAAGCTAAGAACATTCCCCTGGTTCTCCCGAGTTCCCCAATCACAATTTGAGGCAAATGAGTAGTTATGATTGAACATACAAACAAACAGAGATTACTACTTTATTTATATAGATACTCACTTTTTCAGGTTCTTATGTAAATCTAAAATTAGAGCTTTCATTTTGAAGACAAATTTAGATCTGAAAGAACCGAGTTAACATTTAACGATGTTGCCTTTCTTAACGGTCTCAATGTAGAAATTTACATTTTCCTGCATTTCTTAATTAATCATATTTTTTCTTTTTTGATGTTTTTTTCTTTCATTATTTTCTTCTCTTACCTTGACGCATCAATTCTGCCATGCCCTACCGTGTTTTCCCTTCCATATCCTATTCTACTTGTTCTAGATTGTTCTAGCTTGTTCTGGTTTGTTCTAGCTTGTCTGCATAGCTTGTCCTAGATTGTTCTAGCTTGTCTGCATAGCTTGTCCTAGATTGTTCTAGCTTGTCTGCATAGCTTGTCCTAGATTGTTCTAGCTTGTCTGCATAGCTTGTCCTAGATTGTTCTAGCTTGTCTGCATAGCTTGTCCTAGATTGTTCTAGCTTGTCTGCATAGCTTGTCCTAGATTGTTCTAGCTTGTCTGCATAGCTTGTCCTAGATTGTTCTAGCTTGTCTGCATAGCTTGTCCTAGATTGTTCTAGCTTGTCTGCATAGCTTGTCCTAGATTGTTCTAGCTTGTCTGCATAGCTTGTCCTAGATTGTTCTAGCTTGTCCTAGATTGTTCTAGCTTGTTCTAGCTTGTTCTAGCTTGTTCTAGCTTGTTCTAGCTTGTTCTGGCTTGTTCTGGCTTGTTTCCATAGCTTGTCATAGATTGTTCTAGCTTGTTCTGGCTTGTTCTGGCTTGTTTCCATAGCTTGTCATAGATTGTTCTAGCTTGTTCTGGCTTGTTCTGGCTTGTTTCCATAGCTTGTCATAGATTGTTCTAGCTTGTTCTGGCTTGTTCTGGCTTGTTTCCATAGCTTGTCATAGATTGTTCTAGCTTGTTCTGGCTTGTTCTGGCTTGTTTCCATAGCTTGTCATAGATTGTTCTAGCTTGTTCTGGCTTGTTCTGGCTTGTTTCCATAGCTTGTCATAGATTGTTCTAGCTTGTTCTGGCTTGTTCTGGCTTGTTTCCATAGCTTGTCATAGATTGTTCTAGCTTGTTCTGGCTTGTTCTGGCTTGTTTCCATAGCTTGTCATAGATTGTTCTAGCTTGTTCTAGCTTGTCTGCATAGCTTGTTCTAGCTTGTTCTAGCTTGTTCTGGCTTGTTCTAGCTTGTCTGCATAGCTTGTCTTAGATTGTTCTAGCTTGTTCTAGCTTGTTCTAGCTTGTTCTGGCTTGTTCTGGCTTGTTTCCATAGCTTGTCATAGATTGTTCGAGCTTGTTCTGGTGTGTGCTAGCTTGTCATAGCTTGTCATAGCTGGTTTTAGCTTGTCCTAGCTTGTTATAGTTTGTCCTAGTTTTTCATGGCTTGTCCTAGCTTGTTTTAGCTTGTTCTAGCTTGTCATAGCTTGTCCTAGCTTGTTATACTTTGTCCTAGCTTTTCCTAGTTTTTCATAGCTTGTCCTAGCTTGTTTTAGCTTGTCCTAGTTTGTCCTAGCTTGTTCTAACTTGTACTAGCTTGTTTTATTTTGTCCTATATTGTCCAATCTTGTTCTATCTTATCCTTGCTTATTAAAGCTTGTCCTTCTGTCTGATAAATTTTTCATAATCCATTTGGTACGTTCACCTCATCTGTAAACACCTTTCCCCATTTTGTCTATCCTTTTTAGACCGTGTCCTGCCTTCTCTTATTAAATCCTAATTAGTTCTAACTTTCCCTAAATTGTCCCACATTGTCCTAACTTGTCCTACATTGTCCCACATTGTCCTACCTTGTCTTTACTTCTCCTTATTTTGTGTACATTGTCCTACCTTGTCCTAAATTGTCCCACATTGTCCTACCTTGTCCTTAATTGTCCCACATTGTCCTTACCTTGTCCTAAATTTTCCCACATTGTCCTACCTTGTCATAAATTGTCCAACATTGTCCTACCTTGTCCTAAATTGTCCCACATTGTCCTTACCTTGTCTTTACTTCTCCTTATTTTGTCTACATTGTCCCACCTTTCCCTACATTGTCCTAACTTGTCCCACATTTTCCTATATTGTCCTACCTTGTCTTTACTTATCCTTATTTTGTCTTCATTGTCCTACCTTGTCCTACATTGTCCCACATTGTCCTACCTTGTCCTATATTGTCCTACCTTGTCTTTACTTATCCTTATTTTGTCTAGATTGTCCTACCTTGTCCTATATTGTCCTACCTTGTCTTTACTTATCCTTATTTTGTCTACATTGTCCTACCTTGTCCTACATAGTCCTACATTGTCCTACCTTGTCCCACATTGTCCTACCTTGTCTTTACTTCTCCCTATTTTGTCTACATTGTCCTACCTTGTCTTTACTTCTCCTTATTTTGTCTACATTGTCCTACCTTGTCCTACATAGTCCCACATTGTCCTACCTTGTCCTACATTGTCCTACCTTGTCTTTACTTCTCCTTATTTTGTCTACATTGTCCTTACCTTGTCTTTACTTCTCCTTACTTTGTCTACATTGTCCTACCTTGTCTTTACTTCTCCTTATTTTGTCTACATTGTCCTAACTTGTCCTACATTGTCCCACATTGTCCTACCTTGTCCTAACCTTGTACTAAATAGTCCTAATTCTTCTACCATGTCCTACCTTATCCTTTATTATCTTGCTCTACCTTTTCTGTATCGTGTTGCCCTACCTTGTATTCTCCTTGTCCCTACTAATATGATTTACCTTGTCCAATTATGTCCGTTGAGCTACGCAGTCGGTTCACAACAGAAATAAAAGTTAGATTAACTTTTCGGTTTCAATTTAGACTTATTTCATTAAAATTTTAAATTTTAGCCTCCGAATCCAGGCAGAAATTTATGCCATTGATTTAATGCCTTGAACGATTAAATAATTTACTTTAACGGAACGATTTTACTTTTTTCTACTAAACTGTCATTTAAAAAATCTTATCTATTCCAAATATTTCTCCTATAATGTTTCATTCTTTTCTCTGATTTTAAATCCTATAAATCTTACTTGTCGATCGTAAAGTATTTTTATCTATAATGATGTTTGTATGTGTTTGTCTGTCTGTCTGTCAATATCTGGTTGCATGTTTACAGATAGGAGTTTAGTCTTAGACTGAATATATCCGAGTCCAGTTATACCAGAGACAAGGAAACCAGAGAACATAGGGGAAAAGGAAAAAGAGAACACGGAGACAAGAGAACTTAAATTAAAAAAGAAAAAGCACAAGGAAACCAGAGAACAACGAAAAGAGAACGAGTTAAGAAAGAAGGAAAGAACAAAACCTAGAAAACATAAAGTAAAGAGAAATTTGAGAGCCAGACAAACACATTGGGAACCTTAACGCTTCGAAATAAGAACAAACTAGAGAACAAGGAAACCAGAGAAAATGAAAACGAGAGAACAAGGAGACTAGAGAACAATGAAACTAGAGAACAAGGAAAACAGAGAACAAGGAAACCAGAGAACAGGGAAATTAGAGAACAAGGAAACTAGAGAACAAGGAAACTAAAGAACAAGGAAACTAGGAAAAAGAATACCAGAGAACAGGGAAATTAGAGAACAAGGAAATTAGAGAACAAGGAAAACCAGAGAACAAGGAAACCAGAGAACAAGGAAAACCAGAGAACAAGAAAACCAGAGAACAGGGAAACCAGAGAACAAGAAAACCAGAGAACGAGGAAACTAGAGAACAAGGAAACCAAAGAGCAAGAATACCAGAGAATATATTTATGTGAATATAAAGTAATAAATGAATAATTCCCCCCTTTTCTTTTTCTCACCTAAGGTTATAAGGGTCCCAAGGGGTTTGATTAGACAATGAATAGGGTATTCAAAAAATCTCTTTTACACAAAAGACTTAAAAATCGAACATTCAACACTCTTCGCACAGATTAGAGAAAGACATTTTCCCAACGCCTATTATTTATGACGTTATGAAAAAAGAAGAACACAGAATTGTTAAAAATTTAAATTTTTAAAACTATTTTCATTTGTAAACATTACGGTGAACACTTTGTATGAATTCAATTGTATTTGCGGAGCTAATTAAGAATAAACAAGAAATACAGTAATTTGTGCAAATGGAGTATCTAAAAGTTGTAATCTCTGTCTGTCTGTTTGTTTGTCCGATCATAACTAGAAACCCCAGCACCGATTTGCCTCAATTTTTATATGGTAACTCGAGAGAATCACGGTAATGTTCTTCGCTTGGTTTCGAGATGCTAAATTAAGTGGTTCTACTGTTACAGCGGAAAAAAAGCTAAAATCGTAATTTAAGACAGCGCGCGGGTAAAGGATCGGACTAACTATGACTACCCTGGGCAGTGGGCAACACTAGGTTCTCAAGCTAGTTTTCTGTTATAATATAAGGTTGTGTGATTAGGACACCCTTTACTACAGTGCTTATATGTGCAGAACCCTAGGGCCATGATTAGAGCGTACACTGTACACTTTACATTTACAACCTAATAAACCAGACAATATTATCTAATTATATAATTATCTATGCATACTTAACTACAGGGTGTCCCAAAAAACATGGGAATTCAGTGACGAATTCGATATCGTCTTTGTTATGAATTAGCACTGTAATACCTAATTTCAAAAGCCATAATATTATTATGTCTGCTAGAGTTTATTTTATGAAAAGGGTAAGAGACTGTAAAGATGTGTCTATAATGTCTCCGCAAGATGAACAGAGAAGACGGACAAGTTTACTCTGTTTGTATACTGCAATTTTCTTGTTTTACAAAGTACAACCGTATGCAGTCAAAACATAAACAAACAAAATGTGAACATAGCAGACGAAACTCTTACAGATTACAGCTTTTCAGTAGGTATCACTATTCTAAATCAAAGAATTATTTAAAAAGACGATATAGAATTCGTCACTGAATTCCCATGTTTATTGGGACACCCTGTACCATTAAAGGGACTGTAAGCGTAATTTCTAGTAATCCTCTTTGCAAAGAGGGGACAGTCTGATTTACAACAAGCCTTTGACTGATCAACGAGGGCAGTATTTATCTTTATAAATGTGTTCAAATCGCCTGAAAACTACGCTAGCGTAAAGTGTGAACTCAATGTAGATGACCATATTTCTAAAAAAATCATCCCCAATATTCTATGTTCAATGCTGTTTTCAAAAACTCAAATTCAAAAGTTTATTTTCTGCGAATTTTTTTCTTATTTACAAACTAATTAAAAGCGTTTCACAAATAAGAAGAAGTCCCCGTGACCCTTGATTAGTCAAAAGTTTAAAGGGTACCGTAGTAAATCGGGCATTCCCTTCGATGCATGGAACATCACTAACCAGCGCTAACTATGGATGGGCAACGTTCAGTAAACGAAAAGGAAGTTTACAAAATAACGGAAGTTTGCAAAATAACGGAAGTTTACAAAATAACGGAAGTTTACAAAATAACGGAAGTTTACAAAATAACGGAAGTTTACAAAATAACGGAAGTTTACATTAAATAACGGAAGATTACAAAATAACGGAAGTTTACAAAGTAACGGAAGAGTCCGATAAAGAACAGCAAAAATAGTTAAGTTTTTAAATCATTTATAAGAGAAATAGCCGATAATAAAAATAAATTTACGGTTGAAAAAAAGAACGAACGGATGTAAAATAGAAAAAAAGATTTTTTAATGCAATTTGATGTTTGTAAATGTTGTCTTTTGTTTTTCCCCCGCTTATTTGTTAGATAATATATAGAATTTTATGTATGTTGGTGTTTTTAGATGGGTTTGATGTTTTTGTTTGATGTTTGCGGGTATTTTTCGATATATCGATAAGGTCAAGTTAATACCTGGCATTGTTAATGATTTCTAAAATAATTTCCGTTAGCGGAGTTTCCTTTTTGGGGTCTTAACGCTTAAAAAATGGAGAATATAAACAAACTGAATTAAATAATATTTCATAACAAAAATATTGATATTCACAAAACTGTCTAACCTTATTCATGAAACCCGGGTTTTAAAACTGGTTTTATTAACGATACCCTGTGTTAAGTTTTGGGCTCAGAAGTACAAACTGTACAGTGTACAGTGTACATGTACCGACTGTACTGCAGTCTAGAACATACTTACTTCTCGGTTTACTTGTAAGAACAAGTATTAACTGTACAGTGTACACTGTGCCTGTACCAACTGTACTGCAGTCTAGAACATACTGTGCAAATGAACCGTGATTATTATGTTCCGTGATACAATGAACATTGGTTAACATCTAGAATAAGGACAGCTTAAATTATTTTCCTATCTATCTATCTAAGTATTCAACTATATCACTATCTATCTATCTTACTATTTCACTATATCCCTATCTATCTATCTAACTATTTCACTATATCCCTATCTATCTATCTAACTATTCAACTATATCCCTATTTATCTATCTAACTATTCAACTACATCCCTATCCATCTATCTAAATATTCAACTATATCCCTATCCATCTATTTAACTATTCAACCATATCCCTATTTATCTATTTAACTATTCAACTATATCCCTATCCATCTATCTAACTATTCAACTATATCCCTATCCATCTATTTAACTATTCAACTATATCCCTATTTATCTATTTAACTATTCAAATATATCCCTATTTATCTATCTAACTATTCAACTATATCCCTATCTATCTATTTAACTATTCAAATATATCCCTATCTATCTATCTAACTCTTCAACTATATCCCTATCTATCTATCTAACTATTCAACTATATCCCTATCTATCTATCTAACTATTCAACTATATCCTTATCTATCTATCAAACTATTCAACTATATCCCTATCCATCTAACTATTCCTTAGCCATCATCTCTAATTTTATTTTATTCATCTATATAAATATTATAAAATGTCGTCTTGACAGTACAATTTCAATAGGTTTTATACTTTAAACCTAAATCTCAGTAATTGAATAAATTACTGGAATCTCCGGTACATTTCAAAAACCGGACCGATTTTCAAGGAGCTAGAGCAAGCTGTACAGAACACACACAGACAGGCAGAACGGGACGGTTTTAAAGAGCTCCGTATAATTATTCAAATAGAAAACTTTTTACAAATTCTTTCGATATCTGGGTTAAACTGTATCTGACTAGAAATTTTCCTATCCATCTATCAACCTATTTTCCTATCCATCTATCAACTTTTTTTCCTATCCATCTATCAACCTATTTTCCTATCCATCTATCTACCTATTTTCCTATCCATCTATCTCCCTATTTTCCTATCCATCTATTTAACTTTTTCCTAATCATCAATCTAATAACTTTCCTATCCATCTCATGAAACTTCGAAGTATGCTGTCAATCATTGTTTGGTTGAACCGTGAAACTTAAATCTCTTCTGTCTGCGTAATGGATAACTTTTAAGATACAAATAATTATTTTGTCCTTTACTCAACCTTTTAGTTTTCTCCTGATATCCAATAGGAAAAAATCCTTTGGTTTCTGACAAAATTTACAAAAAATCTTTAAGTTTTATGAACTCAGGATAATTAACCGCATTCCACACAAGTTCGGAAATCACGAAGAGAGAATATTCTTTTGGAGCATAGAACTTTAAAACTTTAATTTAAATTTTTATTAACACTGTTTTAGACAATTTACGATATTTCGGATTTTATTTAATTATTAACGAGGCCAAATTTTAAAAAAAAGTATAACCTATATTATTTGACAAATTAAAAAGATAAAAATGCAAGGATCAGCAGCATTGTGGAAGAGAAAATTATGAGAATTGTTGTGGCTGACCTTCCATCCGTCCCAAGCCAAGACAAGGAAAAGATATGTACACAAATTAGTGTCCTGTAATTGTTGAATGCCAAATTATCTATTGGACTTTCTGCCAATAGCGACTGAATTTGCTATTATAAAATGTACTGCGTAACTTTTACGTAAACCATTGTCATTGAAAAATATGTTTTTTTAAATAGCTTAATTTTTAGCAATCTTAACTAAGGTAATATATAACAGTGATAACCAGAAAACAATGGAATAGAAAGACGACAATGTAGCAATACTTAAGTTTAGTACTTGATGTTGTTACAAAAAAAAGTAGTTTTACTAAACACTTAAGAATCACTAATTTATTGAAATGGGTTCGTTTTCACTGCACAATTGCTGTGTTTATGCTAATTGAACTTTTAAAAGTTATGACTTGATTCTAAAAGTCGTCTTTCTATTTCAGAGTTTTCTGGTTTTCTAAGTCTTAAGTTTTTAAGAGATAACATCCTGAGAGAGATTGAATTTAACGTTGTTTTTGTATTAAACTTTTCTCATTATTGAGTTTTATTAGCGTGATTAAAGAATTTTGCTAAAAATCACGAAATAATAGTTGTTTAAAACTCTACTTCATCAAAAACCAAGGATACAAATTTAAAATCAAAGATAAATGATTGTTAGAAAATAATTTTCCCCCAAAGCTTAAAGTTGTTATCTGGTGAGTGCTGACCAATTAAAAAAATATGTCTTAAAAATGTGCTGTTCAAAATTTTTTGAATTTTGGAGATTAAAAATACAGTTTAAGGCAAGTAATCACTTATCGTAAATATACTTTATCGTAAATATGAACCAAGTTTTATAATCTCAAAATATATTAATACTAGCCTTAGAGGGCGCTTCGCGCCCATCTCCTAAATTAATTGTGAACATGTTCTCTTTGTGTACATCGTAAAACAAAACAAAAATAATTCGCGGATTTTCACAAAAAATTTCGTGGATTTTCAAAATTTTCAAAAATTTAATGAAGATCGAATTTTGATGGAGACAAATATTTGAAATTTTGATCATTCATAAACTTTCCCTGTGGTCACGTGATGTCCCACACAAAATTTGGGCCCGATCGGTTCAGCCGTTTTGACGTTTATTGCATACAAACAAACAAACAGACAAACAGACAAACAGACAGACAAGCCAAATTTATATATAGATAGATTAAATAACAAGTATGTATCTGATATTATATTTAAAAAATATATAAATGTTGAATAACAAGCATGTAGCTAATATTTTATTTGAAATATATAAATATTAAATAACAAGCATATACCTAATGTTATTCTTGAAATATACAAATATTTTTAAAATAACCCAAATCAAACTATTTGTAAGCGGCAAAGAATTAGGTAAACAAAATGAACAGAGAATGAATGGTAACTTGTACATGTACACTGGACACTGTACACTGTGCATATACTTTTTACACTGGATATTGCACACTGCATTTATACAGGTTCATTGTTCACTGTACAGGCCTGGTACAATCTGAGATATTTCTCCTAGATGACAATATCAAATTATCCATAAACCTGAGTCCTGTTTTCTGGGATCATATTCTTCATACTCTTCTTCATCCCTTTCTTCATCCTTTTCTTCATCCTCTTCTTCATCCTTTTCTTCATCCTCTTCTTCTTCTTCATTATCATCCTCTTCTTCTGTATCCTCCTCTTTATCTTCATCTTCATCTACATCTACATCTTCATCTTCTTCCTCCTCTTCCTCATTACCTTCTTCTTTATCTTCTTCGTCTTCCTCTTCTTCTTCGTCCCTTTCATTTTCTGTATAATTGTCTTCGTCTTCTTTTTCTTTATCATTGTCACCTTCCTCTTCTACTTCTTCTTCTTCTTCTTCTTCTTCTTCTTCTTCTTCTTCTTCTTCTTCTTCTTCTTCTTCTTCTTCTTCTTCTTCTTCTTCTTCTTCTTCTTCTTCTTCTTCTTCTTCTTCTTCTTCTTCTTCTTCTTCTTCTTCTTCTTCTTCTTCTTCTTCTTCTTCTTCTTCTTCTTCTTCTTCTTCTTCTTCTTCTTCTTCTTCTTCTTCTTCTTCTTCTTCTTCTTCTTCTTCTTCTTCTTCTTCTTCTTCTTCTTCTTCTTCTTCTTCTTCTTCTTCTTCTTCTTCTTCTTCTTCTTCTTCTTCTTCTTCTTCTTCTTCTTCTTCTTCTTCTTCTTCTTCTTCTTCTTCTTCTTCTTCTTCTTCTTCTTCTTCTTCTTCTTCTTCTTCTTCTTCTTCTTCTTCTTCTTCTTCTTCTTCTTCTTCTTCTTCTTCTTCTTCTTCTTCTTCTTCTTCTTCTTCTTCTTCTTCTTCTTCNAAAATCATTCTTTAGAATTTACAACAGTTCATATCTGTATATATAATGTAAAAGGTTGAATTATGCAGGTTATTGTAAAATTCCAGATTATCATCAAAATCGTTAATCGTTAAAATTTGTTTATGTCATACAATAGATGCAACCACATAGAAATTTGTTTTACATTTAATGCCTAAAGCAATCTTTTTTTGTTATTTTTTGCGTTCCCAATAAAGAAACGTTTCAATCGACTGGGATCTATTTGTAAGTGTCCCCATGGGCCATGACCACAATTAAATATATTTAAAAATATTTGAAAATCGACAAACGAAAATAAAATTTGCGATTTTTTTGTTATTGTTGACTGTTGAGAAATATACGAAGAGAAATAAAAAAGTCTAGAAAATTTTGATTTTATTTTATAATGTGTCAAAAATATTTACCATATCTTTTAAATGTGTCATACACCATTTTCTGTCATCGCTGAGCACCACAAATATTGGCTCTTCATACTTTTTCCTAAATTTTGAATTGTTTCCCATAAACAGACCGAAACATTTTTCAGAATTTCTAATTTCTCTTTTTACCTGAACTGTTCAAACGCGTATTTAAAGTAGTTTTCATCCACAGGTGTTCCTAAAAAATGTTTAAAAAACGATTTGTCCTTTTTTTAATTATGAGACTTTGCTTTACAAAAGGTAGTTTTAAAAGTTTTCAAAATGTGATTTAGAAATGTTTTTATTATTCCAAACTTTCATTTAATAAATAATTCTCATCTAATTAAGCTGAAAAATGTTATTTAGGAAAAAATTTACATTAATCTAAAAATCTTATATTTTGATGTCTTTTTTTGTCAACGAATGAATACTATAAAAAGGATATTTAAAATTTATTAAATATAAAAAAGCTTTTTAAAAATTCACAATAAATTTTAGTAAGTTTCCATTTGAATTTATAAGATGTGAGATGCAGATCAATAAAAAAAATGTTTTTAAATATTACTAAAAACATTTTGAAAAATAATTTTTGAGAATTGGTTGACAAATTTTCTACATCTCTTAAACTGATCTCGATCTTTTCTTATTGAGTTAAAACTAGGGTTTCCAATTGGAATTCCGTTGTACGGAATTTCCTCCACTTGTGCCATTTCATTCGCGGAATTGGGCAGAATTGCGTGGAATTGCGCGGAATTGCTTTTCCATCTAAAAATCAATAATTTTAACTGTGACTTACAAATTTATGCAGCAGATACAAGAATGGACATATCTCTGTAGATTTTTTAAGTTTATACAGTTTAAAATTTTTAAGTTTCTTGTGGTTAATGGTCGTTTACTCAAAATTAGATATTTTGCTTCAGTGAGAACCAGAACACTATGATGCAGAAAAACAGCATTACAGTTTATTTGATGTCGTTAGAAAGCCAAAAAATTTAATTAGTAATTTATTAAATCACTTATTAATTCACTTAGCTTTAGTCTAAAATGTCGTCATTCTGTGCCAGAGTTTTCATGCTGCATATGAATATTATAAAACAAAAAATTGAACGAAATTGCGTAATTATTAATTGCATTTATTGCGTGCCATCAGGCTTAAATTTAATATTATCACAAAATTTAAACACAAACACAAGAAAGTTGAACGGAATTGCGCCGCGCCATTATAAAAGGAATTGCGCGCAATTATATTCACTTCGCAAGAACACCCTAATTCGCGCAAGTAAAATCCACTTGCGTTGAAAACCCTAGTTAAAACTGTTAAACTGAATTTCTTTGCTGAAAACATAATTTAATATAGTGTATCAAGATAAGTATTACGTATGCTCAAATAGATATTAAAATGGCAATCTCCTACCTTTAAACTGGAATCTCCTACCTTTAAACTGCAATCTCCTACCTTTAAACTGCAATCTCCTACCTTTAAACTGCAATCTCCTACCTTTAAACTGCAATCTCCTACCTTTAAACTGTGTTTTAATCCACGATAGATAATCTGTTCTACGCACATGAACTCCAATAAATGTCGGGTTTCTCAGTTTCTTTCTTCTTTTTAGTTGAACTGCAAACAAAACAAACAATTTATATATGAATAATATTTACACCTAAAGGCAAAAATATAATCTGAAGCAAGATTTTCCAAAAATCGTCTTTTGTATTCCAATTCCACAAAGTTGATTCAATGGTCTCCAAAACTCTATAAAAATTTCAAATCACAATTTATCTACATTTTGTTTAATAGTTTTGCATATTTTCAGCCTTAATACTTTATAATTGCAGTTCCAGTTCAACTCGTAAAATCTTGAAAATCTTGAAGAACCAATTGGAGGATTGTGTCTAGTTTTGTTTCAACCAGTGATATTGTTAAACTAACTTGGAGGAGAATTAGTTAGACCAGCCCTTCATAGTTTAACTACTTTTCTTAACCTTTATTATAAATTTGTATTTGTAACCTTTATTTTAAATTTTATGGGTTCTGTACAGAAACTTGACACTCGCCAACAATTATAGTGGTTTAAACCCTATATCTGTGCAACCTAATGCTAAAAACCTTTGACATTTCGTGCTATGGTTCTGTTAGACCAAATTGTTTGGAATATCACAGGTTTATACAATCAGGTTGCAAATGTAAAGAAAATATAATTTTGAGTTTGTGGCGAGTATTACTGTTCAGTTTATTTTATTTGTATTGTTCCTAAATATTGATCAGCGGCATCTACAGCTTTTCTATTTAACAGCGGAAGAAATAGTGTTCTGATTCGAAATATATAGAAATAAATTTTAGTTGAAAATGGACAAAGCTTATCTTTGAATCAAAGGGATCTTTAACCACCATTAGACAATAAATGATCATTAACAAACTAAAAAAAATTTATAAAAGAATTTATATCGTGACAACTTTTTGGAGATCGTCCTTGCCACTTAATATCTATTTGTCACTTTATAATGTTTCCCAAAAGTAGAACTTTTTTTACTAAAACTAATTTTGTCATCAAAACAATTTTTTTTTAATAAAAAAAAAGAAATTATAAATTTGTATTTGTGTTTTTTTAATAATCATAAAAACAATTTCAAACCCCAAAAATGTAATGTTAAAAAACATTTATTATTTTTTTGAATTAACCATTTTAAATGCTTATTTCTTGAAATATTCCTGATTGCTTCCAGATGTTTGAGAATAAGAAGAGGGTCATAGTAATCCAGCATTAGATAATCAACCTTCTTATACCTAAACATTATATTTCTAAACCTAAACATTATATTCCTTAACCTAAACATTATATTTCTAAACCTAAACATTATATTTCTAAACCTAAACATTATATTCATAAACCTAAACATTATATTCCTAAACCTAAACATTATATTCCTAAACCTTAACATTATATTTCTAAACCTAAACATTATATTCATAAACATAAACATTATATTTCTAAACCTAAACATTATATTCCAAACTTGAACATTATATTCCTAAACCTAAACATTATATTTCTAACCTAAACATTTTATTCCTAAACCTGAACATTATATTCCTAAACAGTGAAAAGTATGAAAAATGTAAATTTACTTGTTAGGACTTTGCCAAACGTTCGTTACAAGACCCTTCTTCCAGGTGATACAGGTAGGACAGATACAGGTCTAGATAGATTGGTATTATTATTAATATTATTATTATTATTATTATTATTATTATTATTATTATTATTATTTAATAATAACTATTTTTATTATCAATATTTTTCTCTTCTTCTTCTTCTCCTTCTTCTTCCTCTTCTTCTCTGTCATCATCTGCCTCCATTTCGTCTGTATCTTCTTTCCCATCCCTTTCTCTCTCCTCTTCATCATCATCCTCATCTTCTTCTTTTTCTCCATCTTCTTCTTCCTCTCCGAAGTTCTCCATCTTATGTTTTACTGGTCCTTAATTTAGTTTAAAAAGCCAAGAATTTAAAAACTTTTCAACATCAAATTGCCAAAAAAAACCGTGTAAAATTTGTACAAACTTGTTAGAAATAATATTTGAATTATCTAGTAGAATATATGTCCCTGTGATACATCAACATGTTCCCAGTTCCAAGGTGCTGCTTTATGTAGAGCCTAAACAGTTATCTTGTTGCATGGTTTTTAAATTTTTTAATATACTGCTTTACAATTCTATATTATAATTGTCAATTTAAATAGAATTTCTTTTAAAATTTCAATAAATTTGTCTAATACAAAAATTTATTTTGATTTAATATCTAATTGTCAAAAAATACAAAAGAATCGAAATATCATATGTTTAAAACAACAAAGGACCGAAATTTTGGAACTTCGTAATTTGTAAATTATCACTTAGGCGCCATAGGCTGCACAGGTGGAAAGGCGATAACTTTTGATTGTGCAAATTTGATCTCTGTTAGGGTCGAACTTTACGGAACACCAAGGCACGAACACCGGTTAAATTTGCTAGATCATTTGTAGAATTAGTAATGAAAATAGTTATTGTTCATCTTTCCCCCAATTTAAAATTAGCAATCAAAATATGGTTTAAGATAAACCTGTAGAATAGGATGTTTCTTGACACTGTATCCTGTAGCATACATAGTATCACCCCCAGCTAGCAGGGAACTCAGAAAACCAAAGCTTCCGTAATCAAAAACTAAAACAACACATTTATTGTCTAACTTTAAATAATTTGAATCTATTTGAATATTTAAAGTCTGTTTATGCAATCCATTGTAAACTCTGTATAGGGGAGGGGGGGGNGGTCCTCACACTTACAGCCTTAAAATTGGTAATCGATGAAATATTTAGTTTGGTTTCAGAGACAAGAATTGCCTGAGAAAATTTTTAAATTTTTTGGATCCCGCGAAATTTTTTGTTGTTATAATTCTGAGATGAGCGACACAAACATGTGCTTAAATTGCTTAAAATATGTGCACTAAGCGCCAATTACCTAGCAGTAAACTTACTTGTATGGTTGGTTTGAACTAAAAGAACAAAATCTTGAACAGCCGGTTCGACTAAATCAGTTTTTAAGACGGGGAAGACGACATCTGAACCCTGGAAAAGCAAAAATAAAAATCTTTCCTTCATACTTTCTTAAATATAACCCCCCCCCCCCCCTCCCATAACTTAAGACGCGGCTAAGCAGACTTTGTAAATTTTGGTTCATCAAACACCTGTTTTTTTGGCAAAATCATTCTTTAGAATTTACAACAGTTTATATCTGTATATATAATGTAGAAGGTTGAATTATGCAGGTTATTGTAAAATTCCAGATTATCATCAAAATCATTCTTTAGAATTTACAACAGTTCATATCTGTATATATAATGTAAATTTAATTGATGAAATGGCTGGACTTGAAATGCATACTGTATTGACTTGGCTTAACTTGAACTTACTTGTCTTAAACTAAATTAAAAAAAACTTGACTTTTACTAGCTTGATTATAAATGAACTAACGTTACTTGATAAAATGACTTGACTTAACCTGAACTAAGACGACCTGACTTACCTATAAGATATAAATTTGCTGTTTCTAGAAGTAAATTTCCTAGTCTCCCGTCTTCTAAAAAATGGGAAAAATTGATACGATAATAATCAAGAAATTCAAAATTTCAAAAAACTTTATAAACGAATTTTTTTTTCAAATGAAAACTCCATATGGGCAATTCTCTTGGTGGCAACTTCTCAAATGTATCTTTATGAAGTTTTCAAATTATCAACTGCCCAATTTCGTGATTTCGCAAATGTCTAAATTGGTTTAAAGTGAAAAAGTGACTACAGGGACTACAGGGACCCAGAAAACTTTTAAATGCTTCATATTTTCTTTGAATCTTCCCAAGGTATTCAAGGTATTCAAATTCGTAAAAAAATTTTGCGAGTGAAATAATAAAACCTCAAAAATTATTTTATTTTTGAAAATGAGGAATTCTAACAGGTTTTTAATAACTGCAGGGTTACAAAAATATCAACTGAGTTGAGTTCCTAATTAAAGTACATCAAAAAACTTAATCTCAAATTAAAATTTGGGGTTCTTGAAGTTTTTGTTGTTCTCATTCTTTGTTAAGGTGAGCTATAGGAATCAAATGAGAATATTTTCCGTGAAGGCAATACTGTTTTAAATTAAATATGTGTAAACCTTTAATAGTGACCAATTGTCGAGCAGTAGGTTTATATTCATCCATATTCTTCGCCTTCTTCTCCATCTTCTTCTTCTCCATCTTCTTCTTCTCCATCTCCAGTCCCCCCTTCAGATGGATATCATCTTCAAAGATCAAAAACAATTTTTTTCAATTTCTCAAGACCTAAATTATTTAAAAACAGAAGATATATGCCAATTAACAGTTTGATAAAGCAAAATTATAAATTCTTGATCTCGAGCTTTTGCTAATCTGCAGATATATTTAATCTTTATTTGATATCCCGCAGTGTAATTATACACTGAAGGCATAACTGAATAAAGAGATTAGGCATTGATCCTCAAATCAAGAGTACCCTCAGTGGATATCAAGATCAAGCAAGTGGAGGTATAAGTATCCAACAAAGTTCTGAGCCCTAGACATGTAGCAAATACCTACTCCATAATAATCTTACTCGAGACGTATTTATCCATGTCCTGATCTACTCGTTACCAAGAAAAACAGGGCTAACTCTCCGATTCTAAATGCCACACAGGCAATATCTCAAACGGGCTTAAATCTCCGGTTCCAAAGGATACACAGTCCCAAATATCAACATGTATAATTCAACGAGGACCCAAGCTATCTTTCCAGCTATATTTGATCAGATTGCCAACTATCAAGGCAAAATCTCCAGTCTTAGGATTCAACGAGGACCCAAGCTATCTTTCAAGCTATGTTCGATTCAATTGCCAATTATCAAGGAAATATCTCCAGTCTTATGATTTAACGAGGACCCAAGCTATCTTTCAAGCTATATTCTATTAAATTGCCACTTCAAGGAAAGATCTACGCTTGTATGTTTCAACGAGAACCAAAGCTTTATGCAAGCTTACTATGCTTCGGATAACGTAATCAAAAGCCGAGTCTCAATCAACTAACTTTATTCAAATAGCTTATGGTACAAGGTTTACAGGAATTGATGTAATTCAATTCCTACGCTGGTATCTATATCACGTGATTAATACCATCGTATTACGTATTTTACAAGATTTACGGATATATCTTTATACCATAAATCAATTATGTCGCATGATTTAAGCTAATCATATTAAATATTCCATTGAAAGACGGTTTCAATATATGAATAATGTCATTATAAAAGTTTACAACATTTAAATCATTATCAATGTAAAACGTACACTGCAATTTCACATAATATCATGTTTGCCTACTTTAACGATCAATTTTACTCTTTAATCAAAAGGAACGTGAACAATGTACACGTAATTTTAGGTGACCGATCCATTAATAAAAAAGGCATGCATTGTTCACAAGGGTATCCTGAAAGCTTTCTCTGATTAAGTATGGATTAGATATTCGTTTTTTGTATATCGAAATCTGATTATCTTTAATTGTGGTTTCTCTACAAAAGTGAATTGCTAAGTTTTTGCTTCATAAACACTGGAGAAATTATCAGAATTAAAACAACGTTATCTCCCACAATATTTATGAGATCAATGTTTCAAGGGAATCATAAATCACGTTTACCTTTTCCTTAAAAGGAGGTTCACTGGAATTAGAACAACAGTTCCTTTAAACTTGTCAAAATGCATGAAAATAAAGGTACATCCTTAAAGGGACTGTAAAGGAAAAATGAAAGGGTGTATAGGATGAAACCTGAGAATCTCAGGTTTTAAATGATACCTATAAGACATCTATTTTATGTTTCTGTCTCTAGAAATTGACATAAAACTGTGTCAAAATTATACCAAAACGGGTATATGCCAGATTTTGTATATAAGTTGTAGTATTAAATAGATCATATTCAACAATTACGCAACCAATCTAAAAACGACTACTAAGTGTCCAATAAAAAAATGCCGATTATGAACAAATATAAAACATTTCATTGTAAGATATTTATCAATTGATTGATCCCTGGATACTGTTGAAATCTCGAGGAGGAGACACTTCTGATTATTCCGATGTTGAGAAGAAAAATTATATTTAAAAACAAAATAAAAGAAATAACTTTCTTTCTCAGTATTCTCGACAGAAACCTTGCAGCCATCTCTTGATAGTTTTCAACAGTAGATTTAATCTTCATTTTAGAAATTGTACTTTTGAAAGGGAAGAAAGATCGTTAAGGGTTTATATCCCCCCCTTGTGTCTCAACCAGGATCACTAACTGGTTACTGAATAGGGTTAAGTTTCGTCAGGTAAGGATGGGCACAATGGTTGGGGGGGGGGGCAGTGCAATAACCTGTAGTCTTCTGGTGCTATAATGCACCAGAATAGTGGGAGGGGGGGGGGGGGGGTTTTGGGGCGAGGAACCCTTATTTTGGGGGAGGGGGGATTTTTTTTACACGGGTTTTGGGAGGGGGGGGGGGGGGGGGGGGTTATGGGGCTAGGTAACCTTAATTTGGGGGATGGAGGATATATTGTACATCGGTATTAGGAAGGGGTGGGGGAGGGAGTAGTGTAGATCAGAAAGGAATGTGTGAGTATGGTTATTCATGAAAATGTTTTTGTCAGGTTTTACATATTTTACATTACACATAAATATTCTTAAAGGGACTGTACAGGAAAAATGAAAGAGGATTTAGGCTGAAGCCTAAGCATTTTAGGAGTTGATCGAGACCCACACGAGTTCCATCTGATGTTCCTGTCTCAAAAAATTGATATAAAACAGTGTCAAAGGAATTGAGTTGTTGCCGCAATCTCTGATTTTCTAATCCCAAAATCTTTGCAACACAATGTCGTATACCTTAGATATTTCAAACAGTGTCAAAGGTATTGAGTCTTTGTCACAAACTATGATTTTCTAATCTCTATATCAGTTTTATATCAAGTTTTATATAAATTTAATTCTTTAATCCTTTCAAGTATTATCCGATTTCGCTTTCTAAAATACTTAAACTTGCAATTCTTACATAATAAAGCTCAATTATTCTCTTTATGTTTGTTTACAGGATTACCATTAAATACTTCTGTCGTTGTAATTTCAAATGACTCTAAATAAGAAAGACTTAAAACCTTTTTTTGGTCAATCATGTAAAATATACCGTTGTTTTTCTAATTTCAATAGTGATTATTTCTCATAATTCCTACATTTTTTCACGCCTTTGCAGAGAAACCATTTTATATATACTCAGTTTTCAGAATTATAAACTTGGATATCTGCTTCATTTTTGATGAAACAAAGTTTCTACTGGTACCGTTGTGAATCGGAAAAGACAATCTATAAATAGAGATTCACTTGAAATTGAGAGTGCAGTCAATTTGATACAACTCTGTAAAAATACCCTAATAATACCCTAATAATACCCTAATAATACCCTAATAATACCCTAATAATACCCTAATAATACCCTAATAATACCCTAATAATCAGTGGCGGACATAAGGGGGGTTATTGGGGTTATTTACCCCCCCCCCCTAGAATCCTGGGGGTAAATCCCCCCCCCCCCTAGAATATTTACAGATCTTTGTAGTTAATGTAAAATGAATGACTATAATGAAAGATATAAAACAAGGTGAAAACTGAAAGGTATGTCATGAAGCCTTTATTAGATTGAGTTTGTAAATCCCAGAAATGAGTGGAAAATGCAAATCAACCCCAATTAAAACCAATAATTTGATATACATCATGATATTTTTCTAGGGGGGGGTAAAAAAAAAATCCTTAAGTCCGCCCCTGCTAATAATACCCTAATAATACCCTAATAATACCCTAATAATACCCTAATAATACCTTAATAATACCCTAATAACACATAGAATACATTTGGTCTACCCTGCATCGTAGGGAGATAAACTATTAGTTTTTTTTATGTGTAGGACGAAGAAGAATATATTTTTAAAGTCTAATCCCTATATGCGCGGGTAACCCTGTATCGTTTCCGGAATTAGACTTTGAAATGTCGTCTTTTGAATTACCATTTTCCTTTATACTTACAGTCTACAGAAACAATTAACATATAGAAAATATGCAAAGCGTCCCATATATCTTATTAGATTATATCCAATCTTTAACTCCAAAATACGCACATAATACTCGAAAAATCTAGCATTTTCTACAAACAAATTTTCTATTAACCTTATTAAATTTTTCAAAATGATTCATTCTTCTTAAATTTTCTTATTTGTCCCCCAAATCGTATTATAGACCCAATGATGTGGGACACCCGTATACATTATAAAAAAGTACATAATACAAATATAAATAGCGAATAGCTAAAAATGCCAGTGAGAGGCAAGCCACTGAAGGTTGTAAAAATTCTCTTTAACTCCTTCTAACATAAAAATATATATAAGTTAGTTTCACTTTTTCAGTCGTTGAATTGCTGTCAAATTATTATTAAAGGAATTATTGATCTAAAAAGCACATAAAAATAAACTTCTGTCGTTTGTTGCATGCATATAATATAATTTACATTTACTAAAAAGTATTTTTTAAAAGGTACATATAATGTCACAGAAAAAAAACATTGTAATTTTCATTAAATAAAAATGAGGTATCACCGTTTTACCTACAATTTATCTTTTCATCAGTAATATATAACTTATTTATAAATTCATAACCTCAAAATTGCACATATAAAAACAATAAAAGTTAGGGAGGGGTTCAGGTTTTAACCTCTGTTTAAAGTTTATAAGAAGCTGAATATATACTTTCATTCCGCTTTTTTTATTTTCAATTTTTCCACGAATTTACGATTAATATCTTACAAGTTCTAGTGAACAAAAAAGATGGAGAATACATTTTTTGGGTTTGCAGAATAAATTATATTCATCTTGTTTCTTTTTTCTTTGCTCTTATCTCTAATCAACACTCAACAGAGCTAGTAAATGGTATATATTAACCCTAATTTAATATTACAATTACATTGACAATCTATCTTATCGAACATCACACTACATCACCATGGAGTCCGATAAAAAGCCCACAGAGGATCCATGAAAATCTAAATTTCACGATTAAATAGATAAACACCGACCGGTGATATCAAGTATCTTTTGATGATTAATGTTCCACAAAATATTTTAGCAGAAAGCAGAAAGATTGCATGTAACCGGGATAGAATTTTGATTTCTTCCCAGCACTGACAGTTTTTTTTAAGGATTCGTTTTTTATAATCTTATTTAACTATCTTTAATATTTGTTGCTAGGGATTTGATTAGTATTGATTTCTCACTACACTCGACATTTTTAAATTTTTTAATTGTTTTACCCCAAAGCTAATTTGGGAATTGCAATAAGGAAATTTAAATTTTACAGTTACACCCAGTACACAGTACACACCAAGTAATGTTAACATACACGCAACAGGGCTGCAACAACCCACCACCTGTCCCCCTTATATACAGGGGATTCTTTTATTGATAGATTCCCCCCTCCGTTGGTTTAAATTCCCCCTCCCTTGGTGAAAGCTGGTTTAGCCTCTTGAAAATCAATGGCGGACTCGGGGCAGCGCCATCTTGTTCTAACCATTCTAGACTGCTCCGCCAGCATACACATACACGCTGCTCTCCACAGAATAAAGGTTTATTCACACGTGTTCCGGCGTTCAGCTCACGTGACAGCTAGCGCAGCCCACAGCTCAGCATGGGCCGGTCAATTGACTTGACGAGTAAAGTGGCATTATTAGGTTTATGTACACTACTCATCTCTTTTAGCAATCCAGGTACATTACTTACATATTTTCTACTTATATATATGCACGTTGCACTAGAGTACAAGTTAGGTGCACGGCATACATGTATACTGTCATGTAAGAAAAATGTTTAGATGGCAGTATTTAAACTTTCTTATACTTATATTCCATATATTTGTCTCAGAAATCGATAATATTTCAAAACGTTGCATGATCAGTTAAAAAAAACTAAATATTCCAGGTTGTCACATTTCGACCTGAAATTATAATTTTCATAATGTTGTTGTCAGCAATCTGATAATTATAATTAATTCCAATAACTTATAAATGTAAATTGTTAAAATATAAAAATAAAAGATGATAGGCGCGCTTGTAAACTTTGACTTGCTAAGATTTTATTTAATTTCATTTTTTTTTGGGGGGGGGGGTAGGGCGTAACTTTTTGGAGATGAAAGGGAAAATGTAAATTTGTAAGCTTAACATTTATATCTAATATGATTGTGTTTTATATAATTTAGATATACTTATACACGACTTTCCTCCTGGTTCGAATAAGCCATGTTTTAAGTATATCGTGCTGAGAGGGCGGAGACACTGGATTAGTTTTACAATAATCTAGTCATAAATATAAATAAAACAATTTTTATTAATAATTTAAGAAAATATCTGTCATCTATTCTTTATAAAAGATAATTACACGTGTTTTGTGCCGAAATGTATGCTTCTTTCTCCTTGGTATTTTATTGGAAAACTGAGCAAATGAAACTTCAATCCTGCAGTGTAGAGCTAGTCCTGCAGTTTGCACAATTTAATATTTGATTTTGCACAACTAGATTAAAAAATAGAATTCGTTCTGGAACTAATGAACAAAGTCAAATTTTAAACAGGAATTTTAATGGTCAAAATGGCCGAACCGGTTTGGTTCATTATACACATGTTCAACCTTTGTATAAAATACATTGAACTAGACAAAGGTCAGATTTTTGCGACTACTAGTCCATCTTTGTGACCTAGTAGCTCCTATAGTTTTAATTTTTCGCACAAGTCTGAGGATAGATAATCTATTAATTTACATATTGGTTTTTGTTCTTTAAAAAGCTGTTCAAGAAGAGGAGCTAGTTATGATTGAACTATCATATTATAAGATTACAATCTCAAGTGTGACCTACTTTAATTATGTGAAATATATGCGAATATGAAAAGAAACATACAATTACTTTAGTAGAAGTAGAAAACTTCATTAAAAGCTCTCTCAATTCTAAATATCTTATAGTACAGTGATGTTCTAAATAGCAGAATAATATAACTTGATCGATAGCTTTGGAGTCGTCTTTGACTATAAATATAATCTACTGCATTCAACATAGGTCGCCTGATTTTAGCAATATTATTCATAAAACATTAATCAACGAATGGTCCTGCCATTTCAAAAATGTGGTCTGCCATTTTTGAGCTTTCATATTTACCGGAGATATGAATGTTTTCGTACAGAATAAGACATTTTCATTGTTTTTTTAAAAACGTGAAATGAGTTGAGTCTTTGCCACAAATTCAAATTTTATAACCCCTATACCTGTGCAACCTGATGGTGTAAACTCTTGATATTTCAAATTTAGATTATTTGATCTGACAGAATTCTTAGTTTGAAATATCTAAGGTCTACGACACTGGGTTGCAAAGATATAGGAATTTAAAATTCAACGCTTGTGGCAAAGAATCAATTCCTTTAAGCAAATTTTTAATATCTTTAGTATTTTGAGAGAGAAAAATGGCAGACCATATTTTGGAAATAGCAAGATTAGGGCTATTTTGTGATTAACGTTTCATAACAAATATTGATAATATTTATTGATAAAAGTTATCAATTAATCTTATATTACTATTTAGAACATCACTGTATTTGATTTTGTTCCGAGTAAACCTAATTTATCTATTCTACTTGTGTGTGAGATATATCTGATGGATCAGGTCTTATATCTACAATGACCACGAGTGAGGAAGATGAGAGCTAGGAGGACCCTAACAATATAGTAGGACCGAGGGTTGAGA